TTCAACATGGGGTTAAACATAGACTTCTCATCAAATATCACATTTCTACTAAGTATAACTCGATGCTCAGAAGGTGACCAGACTCGAAATCCCTTAACTCCATCTTCGTAACCCACAAATACACCCTTCTTTGCCCTTGGGTTCAGTTTACCCTCATCCACATGATAATAAACAGGACACCCAAAAACTTTCAGTGAAGAGTAATCAGCAGGCTTACCATACCACACTTCATAAGGAGTCTTACACTCGATACCTGTGTGTGGTCCACGGTTGATCAGGAAGCACGCCATGTTTACTGCTTCTGCCCAGAATCTTCTCTCTAGTCCAGCATTAGAGAGCATGCACCGTGCTCTCTCCAACAATGTCTGATTCATCCTTTCTGCAACGCCATTCTGCTGAGGTGTATCTCTAACAGTCCGATGACGGGCAATCCCTTCATCCTTGCAGAATTCGTTGAACTCAGAACTGCAGAACTCCAGACCATTGTCCGTTCGCAGCTTCTTGATCTTCTTCCCGGTCTGATTCTCCACCAATGTCTTCCACTGCTTGAACTTCGTGAAAGCCTCACTTTTCTGCTTCATCATGAAAATCCAAGTAAATCTCGAATAATCATCAATAATAGACAGAAAATACCTGCTGCCTCCAATGGATTCAACTCGTGAAGGACCCCAACAGTCGGAGTGGAGGTAATCCAGTATCCCCTTCGTCCGGTGGATACCCTTCTTGGGAAACTTGCTGCGATGTAGCTTCCCAAACACACAATGCTCACAGAATTCCAAATTCTGAACCTTGTGCCCGCAAAGAAGATCCCTCTTTGATAGAACTTGCATCCCTCGTTCACTCATATGCCCCAGTCTCATGTGCCAGAGAGTGGTCATATCCTCCTGTTGAACCTGAGACGATGCAACTGCAGCAGAACCAGACAACACAGACCCTTGTAATGCATACAAGGTCCCACGCTTCACGCCCTTCAGTACCTTCCTCGAACCCTTGCAGACATACACAACTCCACCTTTTCCTTTGAAGCTGAAGCCCTTGCTGTCGAGTAGACTCAAGGAGATCAGGTTCTTCGTCATTCGTGGAACATGCCTGAAATCATTCACGGTACAGAACGAACCATCATGTGTCCGAACCTTTATGGACCCGATTCCAACAACCTTGCAGATAGCTCCATTAGCCATGACCACGTTACCACCATCTATCTGCTCGTAGGTTGTGAAGCAATCCCTGTTCGGAGACATATGGTATGAGGCTGCAGTATCCAGAAACCACACATCACCACGATGTGCCTTATCATCTACAGCCAAGGCGAGATCGTCTTCAGAACTGTTGTCCACTTCTGCCACGGCAACTGAACCTTGTTTCTTCTGTTGCCCTCTTCTCTTGGGACAGTTGTACTTCCAATGCCCCACTTCCTTACAGTTGTGACACGCATCACCTGGCTGTGGACCGGGACCCTTGGAATTCTTGCTCGAATTCCCTTTACCAGATTTCTTCTTTCCCTTTCCACCTGTAACAGCCAAACCCGATGCCTCACCACCTGTACCAGATCCGGACGCCTTATGTCTGATCTCTCTCGTATGAAGAGCAGACCTGACATCCTCCAACAACACGCTTTCTTTACCGGCAATAAAAGAATCAACGAAATTCTCATATGAACTCGGCAAAGAAACCAGCAGGATTAGGGCAGCATCTTCGTCATCAACTTGAACATCTATATTACGCAGATCCAGCAAAATAGAGTTAAGCTGTTCGAGATGTTCCCTCAAAGGCGTACCTTCTTGCATCCTCAAGCTGAACAACCGTTGCTTGAGATGCAGCTTGTTGGTTAGAGACTTCGTCATATACAGACTCTCAAGTTTCAACCACAAGCCCGCGGCAGTCTTCTCAGCAGCGACTTCGATGATGACGTCATCAGACAACGAAAGCATGATGGTCGAGTGGGCCTTCTCCTCCAGGGTATTCCACTCATCGTCATCGACCGCTTCCTTCTTCTGTTTCACAGACAGCGGCCCCCACAGCCCTTGCTGTTTTAGTAAAGCCTGCATCTTGATCTGCCATATAGCGAAGCTGTTCTTCCCCGTGAAATTTTCGATCTTCATGTTCACCGACGTCATTCTTCTGAATCGAAAACCCTAGCCTGATTTCCAGCCGCGGCTCTGATACCACTTGTCATAACCGGGTTGCTCATTAGTACGATATTGTCCGCTTTGGGCCAAGCCCGCACGGTTTTACTCTTGGGTGTCCTCCCCAAAAGGCCTCGTACTAATTGAGCTTGGTGGACACTTATATACAAGGATTCCTTTCCTTGTACAACCGATGTGGTACTTGGATTGTCCCATAACAATCCTCCCCTCAAGCCAAGGACCACGAACTTCGTGTCCTCACCTCAGCGATTATCTTGATCCGCCAAACGCCTTGTATCGATGGGATTCTCGGTACAAGGACTTTACCAGACGCAGAACTCTCTTTGATCTACTTCCCAAATGCGGAACTCTCTTTGATCCGCCAAAGCCCAAACGTGGATCTCTCGTGGATCCACCAAACAGACGCGAATCACAAATCCCGAGGCCACCGAATGAGGGTCCACCAAACTGACGTCCACCGCCCCGGATCCGCCGAACCAGGCTCTGATACCACTTGTTATAAACGCGCTGCTACGGATCGGAAAATCGCCGGAATCGACAAAGCAAGAATACGAGAGCGAGAATCGAAAGACACAGACACACGATTTACGTGGTTCACTAACACGATGTGTGTTAGCTAGTCCACGGGCGAGAGAGAGCCAGTTTCACTATATCGAGGAGATTACAGATTACAGAGGAGTATGAGAAGTATTTATAGTACTTCTCCATGTGGGTCTAAACCTAATCCAATCTAGCAAAGGAAACGGTTACAGACCAGGCCAGCGAGACCCCCGGTTACCAGTCGTAGCGGCTGATAATCCGATTCAAGTCATATCAACAGTTGGTTTAAGAGCCCTTGTGAATTAAAAATATTAAAAACAATATTTTTCTAAAGTCCATAAGATTTTGGCCAAATACACTTGCATAGCCAAAACTTTGACGGTTTTGCCAAATATAGCCACTTTTGGCGAAATACCAAAAATAGCCAATTCCGTCCAATTGTTTGACGGTGTTAATTAACGTGCTGACTGGACTAACGGATTGTCCGACGTGGCGATTTCCGAACCATATGTATTTTCCACGTGGATTTAAAAAAATATATTAAAAGGTTAGAAAAAAATAAAAGGTTATGTGTTTCCCATGTACATTAAAACTTAACAAACAGAAACAAAAAATTCCCCAAAAAAATTCCATCGCCAACAAGCTTTGCAAACCCTTCTCTTCCCTATCCACCAGATCCCGCACGGCCGCCTGGTATAATCGTCGGGATTCAATAGAAGGAGATTGCAGACTTGGATTCAAACAGCTACTTCTCCTCTCAATTTCTTTCCCAAATCATTCTCTCCCTCACCATTCCTCATTCCCAAATCATTCCCTTATTCTCCTCTCGAATTCAAACTGCTGCATGTCCTCGCGAACCAAGCGACCGAAGAATCCAGCTTTTCCAGATCTCATCTGTCCTCTCTGGTTCTTGTTCTCCGACGAACGAAACCCAGCCACAGACAAAGCTGAAAACGACCAACTAGATCTATGCGCAATCTTCACAGAGGCGCCCCCGCCTTCGCTGTTCCTCGCCATCCATGGCCGCCGCAGCTCCGCCGCATCCTCGCCGCACTCGTCGACGAACCCATCCTCGACTCAATCGCGTTGCCGGAATGTGCTTGTCGTCGGATGACAGAGGTGACAACGGAAGGGGAGGAGAGGAACTCGAACCCTCGATCCGCGTCGGAGCAGGAATGGTGCGACTCAGACCCTCGATTCGCGCCAGAGAAAGGAATTTTGGGTAGGGAATCAAAGTGACGCTTGACCTGAGCGGACTTTATTGGCGTCCAACGCTTCTTGATTTTGTGTTTTCTTTGACTATACTAGGTGGTCGGCGAGAACGCTCGGGTTAGATCTGGGAATGGAAATTTTTCGGAGATTTGGAACATATCTGGAGACTGGAATGATTCAAATTTCCAAGACAGAAAATGAGGGAATGGTGCGGGAGCTGGTTGCGCTCGATTCTCCTTTGTTGGTGGTGAGGATGAGGATGTGATGTGCGGAGAGGTGACGGCGGCGTGGATTTGTGGAAGTTTGGTGGCGGCAGGGATTGGGGATTAGGGATTTGATACGAGTGGCTGCCAGAGCTCGCATGCAGTGGAGAGCCTCGGGAGTTCGATAGGGGAAGAGAGATTTGGGAGCTTGGCAGCGGTGGCGAGGACTGACCGGCGGCAGCTGCTGGTTTTGATGGAGAAGAAGAGGGGTTGCTGGAGGAGAAAGAAGAGGGTTCGAAGAGATTAGGTCAATAGGGATAGGGCGAATTTTTTATTATTTTTTATTATTTTTGAAAAATTACGTGTCGTGTGAGTGCTGAGTTGGAAATGAAATAGAGGGTGAGTTGGCAGCCAAGTCAGCGTTCCGTTAATTTAACTAACGGTGTCACTGACGCCGTTAAATTATGTAACGGAAATGGCTATTATTGTCATTAAACTTTCAAAAATCTGGCTATTATTGGTATTTCTCCAAAAGTTGCTATATTTGGCAAAACCGTCAAAGTTTTGGCTATACAAGTGTATTTGGCCTAAGATTTTTGGTGATAAGGAAAAGAAGAGCGACTACTGTTGAAATTTAGTAAACAAAATATCCATAAAAATGTTCTCTCAACTCTAACAGAATGTACTTATATAGAGTTAGTGATACTTCCTTTAAAAAACAAGTTAAATGATACACATAAAAGTGATTTTAGTGATTAACAATGCATTAAATGAAGTTTAAGTTGCACAATTTCACCAATTAGTAAACTTAAGTGACATAACATTATTTTACCCATTAAACACATTATATTATCATCATCTCATCAACTACCTTTCTTCAAACAATTACTATTAAACACACTATATTATCCATCATCACATCAACAACCTTTATACAAACAATTACTATCAAACACACTACATTGTCCATCATCCCATCAACTACCTTTCTACAGACAGCTATCATGAAGTTATATTGCAATAACCACACCATTTGACAACAAAAATAACGAAAAGCACAACAGATCTTATGGTAATGGCACAACTGGCCAACTGAAAATCCATTGAGATCCGAGGGAATAATGATCACATAACAGGAACGGCACTTAGCACGCATTATTAGCTTCCCCTGAAAAGTAAAAACCAGAGTACACATATACATACCACTCTCCTCTCTAGCTAACTGTACAAATATAATGGGCAATTGCACATCCATCCTTGCCCTCCTTGCTTCCAAAAATAACTCTGATAGATCAATAGTTTATCCTTCCATCCTTTCCGAAGCAGCAACTGCAGTGATTGTTGCAGCAGTGATTGCTCACAAAATGGTTAATTCAACCATGGGTATCAAAGTTTGGACCAAAATTTCCTAAACGCTTCTGCCGAACCACTGTTATGATAAGCTGCTGAAGGTTTTACTGAGAGACCAGACCTACAAAAGAGTGCTTCTCAAATGAAACTAACCTATTATCCCTGCTTTTCATATTTCTCGGCAAACCTCTTGAGCAGCAACTGCTGCCGAAAAGCCAGATACGTATCCACGCTAGTCCCAGCCCACTGCTGACAGAAAGATTCATCTGTTGGAACAAATGAACTCAGTGGGAAAGGCCCCTCCGGAGCTTTCTTTAGAGCAACCAGGAACTTATGGCGAGGGCGGATTCTCTGGTCCAATGACAAGCTAAAGTACATGGGATATTTGGTCAAGGACTGTACGCCATTGTGGAGTTCATTGATCAAGTACGTGTACTTGGGCTTCAAATTGTCTTCCAATGACAAAGATAATACCTACACGACATGGCATAGACTACAAAATTAGAACATCTGCCACCAGTTTGCAAAGTTGCAACACTGCTCAAGAAGATTGACGATAGCGGAAGAAGGAAAACTGACCTGTGTAAGATTAGTCAAGACTTTGACGATTTCAGCATCATTCATCCCAATACTCCTCAAGAAGTTGATCCGTGGAAGCAACCCATCGTAGATGCTGTAGTGCAAGAACTGAGGATGCTTTGTTACCATCTTTACCACGCTCTCTCTGGGGGCACCCAGTTCCTCAGACAGAAAGATATATCGGCTATTCCACGAAATATCGATCCTCTGGACCAAGATTTGAGGGCTCAACTGCACGACTTTGCCAAGGATCTTTTCGTTTATCCCGACCTCCTCAACCAAGTACCGAACAGTTGGCTTCAACGAATTCTCGACGCTGTAAGAAAACAAGGAAGGAGCAGCAGCTATGATCTGTCCAATTCTGGAGTTTGGAATGCCTAAACCGATCAAGAAAGCAACATGAGGCTTCAAATTCTTCTCAACTGTGTATTCCAGAATCTGCGGCTGCCTCAGAAGTATCCGCTTGACATCCCTTTGTTTCACACCCACGCTCAGCAAGTACTCCAGCCTCTCCTTTGCAGAAATGATGTTGATCTGCAGAGATGCCGTGTGCCTCTCGTAAATTTGGACAAAGTGAGACTCTTTGAGGCCGAACGTAGTTAGATAATCCAACAACGGAAACCATCTCTTATCTAGCGCTATTTCTTCATAGAGCTTCTCGTAGGTATTATTATCAGCAGTTTTCCTTGTTATCTGCTGGAACCAGAAAGAAACATCTAATGTAAGCTCGTTCCTGCACAATTTCACACACATGTAGCGAAAGAACCCCTCCGAGTTCAAGAAATTAGATACCTTTGGGTTGCTTTTCGTGTGGCGCAAGTTTCTAACGCCAGCTTTCTCTCTTGTTTTCGCACTCGACTGTTTAGGCCTGCCTGGATGCAGAGGAGTCAGTCTCCAACCAACCATGAACCTGTTCCCCAAACTATGAACTGTTAAAACGATTCATCCATCCATTCCATACCTTGTTTGGCAATGGTTTTCTTCTTTGACTTAACCCTCTTCCCATCAACCTCAAACTGAACTGAAGGTTCAGCAAATTCATCCTGGAGAAAAATCAGTCCATCATGATTCACAAATTGCAAATAAGTGAATAATCTCAATCCCAAGTTTAAACTCATTCCCTAATGGGTAATCTCTCTCAGAAAGAGAAATTACTCATGGGGGTTGAAAATGGAGACAAGGGTAACTCACATTCAACAGCCAATCGTCGCCGTGGTCGAATTCAAATTCGTCTTCCTCTTCATCCTCTTCATCGCTACTGTCGTAGGGATTCAACGTCTCGCCGAACTTGGACTTGCGATTGGACTTGAGTATCTTAGCATTGGAATGCGTGTAGGAAACCACGAACTTGCAGCTCCTTTTACCCACTGGACGGAGGAGCTGAAACTCGAGCTCCGTCGCTGCCGCGGGAGAGCACTGGAGCGTTGGATTGAAGGGATAGAGGGAGGAAACTGCCATAGATAAGGTTAAGATAAGAGGGAGGGGGAAGAATATACCCTAAAACCCTAGTTGCAGAATCCAATTTGGAGGGTTTTGTTGGTGGGGATTGCTACTTTATCTTCTTCCTCTTCTTCTTTCATGTTCAGTGGCTGAGGATTGACGGATTGAAATGGGAACGTTACTCAACTGCTTTAACTGGCTATAGGTAATGAGAAGAAATGGCGGGTGGCCAGCTGAATCGAATTATCTGCTGATATTTTGAGAGCGGTCGGACGGACTGACGGCCGGTCGGCTTTCTTCTGCGGGTCAGATTCATCGGATCCACGATTGTGGGCCTTCTCGACGATTCTCGGGCCCGATCCCAGTGGATAATGTACAAATTACAACTCGCTCTTAGAGGTCTACCTTCGTCAACATTTCAGTCCCTGTTATTCTTATTTTTATGAAAATCACCACTATATCTTAATCATGAATCGAGGAGACGATAAACATGACAATAAAATCATCGGTTGGCAATGGATAATTTTCAGATGTCAAGAACAAACTGAAAAATTAGAAGGAGTAAGAGAATGGCTTTATATGCGCTAAATAATCCGCTAAAAATTTTGCGCCTTCGTAAATGTGGGTTCCATAAGGCTCTCAGTTTTTGCTTTGAATCTCATGGAAATGTGTTGAACTTTTCCCTCCTTTAATGGGAGAGACAAAACAAGAAGGTGGTAAAACCTACAACAAGAACTTAGTGACGATAATAGTTATTGTCATATACAATACTTTGTAGGCAGCAAAATTATTGTTAAGTCCAAAGTAGGGATTAGTTTTAAATTCAAAATAATCTAAATTTATAACATCCCACCATTAGATACATTAAGTGAGAGAATACTGAAGAATCATAAATTATTTATGAACTCATTTGACGAGTCTGCTAAGTTGTTCGTTGGTACATTTGGAACATAATTGGCAAGAAGAAGAGGCCTGAGGATGTAATGGGGGAATAAATAAAATGGTTTTTTGGTACTTTTATCATAAATTACCCAATTTACTATTCACGATCTATCTCTTAAAAACGGCTTTATGATAATATATTTTGGTAATTTATATATGTATTCAACTAGTTAAAAACTAAAAATATATTTCAATTTTGTATGTAAAGACTTCAAATCTCTCATGTAGAGAAGGAAGTATGAATTCACCCTATGTCGGGTTCGAATTTTGAGAATAACAAACGAAAAAAAGTATGAAATATATTTAAGATATATCATGGTGAAATCTTTCATCTTATATAAATAATATTTATTTAATTTTATCCATCTCTAGAAATAGAATGTGTGCAACGAGAGAATCAAAGAAGGCCATGAGGCCGCCCCTGAACCACAGAACTGCGCCCGTCTTTGCTTCTGTGTTAGTTTTAGTTTAGCCCCTGGACGGACCAAGTCCTAATCAATGGTATGTCTAACTCGTTTCCTCAAGAATGTGAGATTCAATCAATGAAGAAGTAAAGACCAGAGGTGTATTGGTATACATTATAAAATATATATTATTGAATTTTTCAAAAAGAAAAATACTTGAGTTATTGAGATCAAATAATTCGTGATATGGTATGAAAGTATTTTATAATTGCGAGATTTTTTGTTTGAATCCTGATGACTCAATTTACGGATTGTGCAAACTTCATGTCCAATTGAGTGGTTTGTGTTAGAAGTTATAAACTTTAGGTGCTATTTTGTAATTTGTATAATATGCACATAGGGTTAAGGGAGGCTTGCTGCCGCATATGTATATAGTCTAATGAGACTATGCCTAATGCTTTGGAATACTGTTGAATAAGGCTGAGTTCAATGGGCACCTCATTTATGGGGGAATCTGCAAAAATGAAGGAGGAGATGGTCCAATGGGGAGGTTTGGACCTCCAAAAATGGAGGATCCTGCAAATGGAACTCCAAATTTGGGGATGGAAATGGGGGATCCCCCAAATATAGAGACTCACCAAAGCCCGCCACGTGGCTTTTCTTTTTCTTTTTAAGATTTTAGGGGTTAATTGGGATTTTAATTAGGGGATTAGTTAAGAATTTAATTAGATCAATCATTTTCAAGTGTTGTGTGTAAACCCAAATTAGGTACATAATTTTTTGCCAAAAAAATTCGGACTCGGAATTTAACAAAATTCTATCGAAAAATTTGTATTTAAAAATGATGACGAACTATACAAATATTAACATGAATAAATTATATTAATGCTACGATAAGTACATTTATAAGTAAATGGAAAAACTAGAAAAATGAAAATCCCCAAATATGGAGATTGAAGCATTGGAGCAAAAGAGGGAAAATGGGGATCAATCCCCAAATTTGGGGATGAAGGCCCCCAAATTTGGGGTTTTGCATTGGACTTGGCCTTAAGAGAACTAAAATTGCCTTTGTGCCGTGGATTAGTCTCAACGTTTATCATTGAGGAAACCACGACAATATGGTGTTTTGTGTGCTTGTTTTGTGATTCTATTTAAGATTGACATGGTATCAGAGCCTCGGGATTGATCTTGTGGATTTCAGAGCTTTGGTTTCTGTTTGGTGCGCCGATTTCTAGGTTCTCGGCTTCTGTTTTGGTCCGCCGATTTCTGGTCTCTCAGGTTCAGGTTTGTACTTTTGGGTTGTTTATTGGTCCTTGAATTCCGGCACTTGCTTGCGTCTCTCGGCGGCTTCCGATTTCTGTTGGCTTCTTCTGGGTTTCTGGATCATGGGTTTTTTTTTATTGGTTCGCTTGGGGTTTCTTTATTAGCTTCAGCTTCTGTTCTTTTCTGTCCGTCCCTCTGCACGACTGCACGCTCTTGTCTGCGTGCGTCTCTCGGTTCCCCTTGGTGCTAGCTGCTGCTCTTGTCTATTTGTTCCTGGTTCAAGTTTTCTCTCGACTGTGCTATTGTGTTTTCCACTTGTCTATTATTTTTGACTGGTTCTTGGCGGATTGTTTGTTCCTGGACGAGCTGCTGGTGGTTTGTTTTGCTTGGTTATTGTACAGTTATGGATGGTGCTAAGGATGTTCCCTCTGTCTGCTTCAATGGGAAGAACTTCCCGTTGTGGGAACTTCAGTTTTGGATTTTTGTGTAGGGGCGCCAGTTGCTCCCTATTCTTGATGGTACTTCTCTTGCTCCGGGTGCGGATGCCTCAGCCAAGGTTCAGGCAGATTAGGGGATTGAAAATGCTCAAGTCATGTCCATGATCTTGTAGTCTGTGGATCCGACCATTGCTCTGTCTCCGGGCCTTCCCGACTACTCATGCCATGTGGAAGAATTTGCGTGATATCCACTCTCAAGCTGACATCTCGCGCAAATTTGAGTTAGAAACTGCTATTGCCACTCTTCATCAGGGGGATCTGGATGTTCGGGCCTACTATCAAGCTGCGTTCAATCTCTGGACAGAGCAGGACATGCTTACGACGTCTATTGTTTCTGAAGTGGTGTCAACGGTGGTGCTCAAGGAGCGTGCCAGTTCCCATTTGATGGGGTTTCTCATGTGTCTTAACCCTGCTTTTGAAGGAATCCGCTCGTCGATACTTCATCGCAATATTGGCTCTCTTGAGGAACTCTTGGCTGAGCTGATTTGTGAGGAGACGCGTCTCCGTACTCAAGCTAAGCTTGATGTTCACTCCTCTAATTTTTGGTTCTGTTTTCGCTGTTCAGCAGGGTCGCCCGAAGTTTGGTCGTACCCCTTCAGGAGTGATCATTTGTTATCACTGCAAGGAATCGGGTCACATCCAGGTTCGTTTTCCGAAGCGAGTGGTGTGCAATTATTGTAAGGGTACTGGACATGTTATTGGGGATTGCCACATTCTTGCGCAGCGAGGTCGTGGTGGTCGCTCAGGCTCGTCTACCTCTGCTTGTCGGGGTTCTTCTGCTCCACGTGCTCCTCCTGGTGTGGCGTATGCCACTACCCCTGTTAGCCCCATCACGATGGATGCTGGTTCCGCTAGCTCCTCGGGTGTGTTTTCAGAGGAGATACGACGTTTAGTTCTAGAGGCACTCCAGGAATCTCTTCCTTCTGCGCTCACCGGTGCCTTCTCGACTGGTACCGTTTCTTCATATCTTACTCCGTGGCATCTTGATTCTGCTGCTGTGAATCATATGACTACTGATAGATCGACTTTTCTGTCTATTCGTCCAAGTACTGGTGTTCATCTGCAGGTGGCTGATGGTTCACAATTATCAGTTTCTGGTCTGGGTACTGTGCAAAGTACACAGTTGCGGCTTCCTAATGCCTATTATGTTCCAAAACTTCTTCCGAATTTGGTTTCTGTGGGCCAATTAGCTGATGATGCCTGTAGTATTATCTTTGATATCACTGGGTGCGCTGTGCAGGACATGAGGACGGGGAAGGTGATCGGGCGCGAGAGTAAGCGGGGTCGTGTTTTTTCTCCTTGATAGATACGAGCGCCAGGAGGGAGATCAGGGTGGTACGACTGATGGGACTATGGCTCGGGACTCCATTTCAGCTCGCGCCATTAAGGAGGAGGATTTTGTTTTTTATTCACGTTTATAGTTAGACAATACTGGTTATTCTGTTAAATTGTCTGATTGAGATTTGTGGCATTTTCGGCTTGGCCATCCTCATAAATCGAGACTTTTTTATATGTTTAAGAAGAATTGGTTGTCTGGCACCATTCGCACGATGCCTGATTATACGTGCACTCATTGTGTGGAAGCTAAGATTTCTCAGCGTTCGTTTAGTGCTAGTACCACGGAGTATGCTGATCCGTTTGATCTGGTTCATACTGACATATGGGGCCTTCTCCAATAACAGCTTGTCTGGGTTTTTGTTATTTTGCACTGTTTGTGGTTATGTTACGAGATTTACGTGGGTTTACTTTCTCAAACAGAAGTTTGAACTCTTTGATGTAGCTCGTGACTTTATTCAGATGGCCTCCACTCAGTTTGGGAAAACAATCAAGATTATGCGCTCAGATCCCGACGGGGATTTCTCATCTAACCCTTTGCAGGATTTATTTCGGCAGAAAGGTATTCTTCCTCAGCAGTCCTGTCCCGATGTATCGTAACAAAACGAGTTGGTGGAGAGAAATAATTAGGCATAGTCTCATTAGATTATATACATATGCGGCAGCAGCCCTCCCTTAACCCTGTGTGCATATTATACACATTACAAAATAGCAACTAATCCCGTTCTTTGAGTATCCTCGCTTGAGGCGGCTGAGTATCGGTCCATGAGTGAGGTCACTTCTGAGATTGTTTGGTTGCAACGACTGTTGGCGGACTTTGGTGTTCAGTGTTCTCTTCCCATTCGTCTTCAAGCGGATAATACAAGTGCTATCCAGATTGCTCCCTTTCTTCATGATCGCACCAAGCACATTGAGGTACATGTGTACTATATTCGTCAGTTAGTCACAGCGGGTATTATTGCACTCTCCTATATTACTTCTGAGGATCAGGCGGCTAACCTGTTGACAAAGGCTGTGGCTTCGGCTCATCATTGGTTTCTGGCTCACAAATTGATGTTGCGTCAGAGGGTGTTAGAAGTTATAAACTTTATGTGCTATTTTGTAATTTGTATAATATGCACATAGGGTTAAGGGAGGGTTGCTGCCGCATCTGTATATAGTCTAATGAGACTACGCCTAATTCTTTGGAACACCGTTGAATAAGAGAACTAAAACTACCTTTTGTGTCGTGGATTAATCTTAACGTATATCATTGAGGAAACCACATAAATCCGGTGTTTTGTGTGCTTGCTTTGTGATTCCATTTACGATTGAGAGTTTGAAATTGAGGGGGCGTGTTAGTATATTGTAAATATAATTAATCTAGCCGGTGGTCGAGATTCGTCACATCGATCATGCATGGCCGCCTGCCACGGAAACTGAAGTTTTCTTGTGTGTAAACAAAGCCTTCCGTGGCGTCAATGGAAAAGCAGCTATGTATATATCCATGCAAATGAGAAAAAAACCACCGCGCAAAATGACGATCGACGACGATGATAGCTATATGTAAAGAGCGACAACGCATCGGCAGCAGGGGAATGAAAGGGCCGGAATTCAAAGAGAATGTATGAATATGAGACCGCCCGCAATCCCCGGCCACACGCAGCAGATCCGCTCCATCTGTTTTCTTTCTTCTCAAACAGTTTGCCAATTTGAATGCTGCTGCTGCTGCTGCTGCTGCTGCTGCAGAGCAACAAACTGACAGTACGGATATGGATAGATATACTTAGCTTGGATCGGTCAGGTACTTGATTGTTGTAGCAAGTTTCCTTTCTACCAAATCGAATAGTATGCATGCCCAACCGGTAATTGATCGATCTGGCCCGATGTATCAACCTGATCAAACCTATAACCCAACCTAATTAACATTTTATATTTCGACATATTATTCAACTAACAATCTGACCAATCCGCAAGCCCTACTGACTCATAGCTTGACCAACTCGATGGGAACCCAACTGGTGGTCGATCCACAGCTCATGAATTAGCCCAACCGAACTACAAACCGAACCGGTCGCCGTTTGCCGCATCAATTCATCCATCACCACCTTAATTAATTGTTTTTGCAATGCAACTTGGATTCTGTGGGTCGTATAAGTACACCGTATCGTTTACTTTTAGTGCACAGAGAGAGAGGAGAAGTCAACAAATTGACCATCGAGACATTCTGTTCTACTTCTTCTATTATGTACTCGACTTGCTTTAATACTAAAAACGTAATAGTAGCAATAAAGATGGAAAACTAATTACATAATATTTGCAACAACATGATGTGTTAATGATAAATATGCATGAAAATATTGATCAATGACTAGCATTATTAATTAAGACATTTAAACATATCATTATAAAAATAAACAATCAATCATAAACCATAATTTGATCATATAATATAGGATTGAATCAACTAACAAACCTACAGTGGAGGCCCTCTAATATTCGGAGGTCCTATGCCGAAGTGCCTTTCGACCAGCGGCGGATCCAGGGGGGCCGCCCCCGGGCCTCGGCTCAGCCCTCCTCCGCTTTGAATCCACAGCTAGTATAGGACGTGTAATTTTTTTTTTATTTCGGTATTTTATCGGTGTGTTTTTGGGTTTTGTCGGGCTACGACCCAGCCCTCTCCGCCTCTTTTCAAATACGGCCCAGTGCTCTACCCTGTCCTGGATCCGCCGCTGCTTCCGACACACCTTATTGGTCGGCCGTATCTGAGGGGTCATGTGAAAAAATAGTATAAGATCTAACTCGACCTATTGACATTGATTGGTCCTCCAAAATCAATATTGGAAGAAATGTGAAAAAGAATGAGAAATTTTGAAATAATAATGGGAGGATATCATCATCCAAATGTCGCATTTTAGGAATCGTTTGGTTTTGGTGATACTTAAATCAATGAATTGTGATCAATGCATGCATTGTAACATACATGCAACTAAGAAAAATAATGTAATGTACTTTGCATTGTTTGGTTTTGGTGATAGTTCTTTTAGTATTCAACAAGTTATTTTACTTTTTGGGAAAGATCAATTTTGCCCTTACTTTTATTAGAATATATATATATATATATATATAACTACGTATATAATTGGAACAAAAAAGGAACCCAACAATCTTCCTAAAATATCTCAACAATCTCAAGTTTTAGTAGAGATAAAATGAGTGATAGTTTTCATCACATAATAAAAATATGTCTATTATATATGTAGAAAATTCAAAAAAAAAAAAAACAATGTACTATAACTATCCAACCAAACAATCATAAAAACCAAAAGATTAATTTTCATTTACAAATAATATATTTGAACAAAATGTCTCAGATTGAGACTTTGGCCAGAAAATCCACACTTAAAAGAATCTCCACCGAGACGACTACAAGAAGTCCAACTTGAAAAGATTTGAAGGAGGAGACTGACTGGGTGCACAACAAAACAAACGCAAGGCTAAAACCGCGTGGGTCCTTAACACATCGTTTGCGGGTTGCGGCTATGGTTTCTCCCCACCTTAACCCGGGCCCAAAAGCCCAAAACAAACATTTTGCAATATGAAAATCCTCCAACTTAATCCACTTCTTCTTCCCATCACCAAATTGGCAAATTTCCTTTATTTTGTCCACAATTATATTACTTAATTAACTTCTTTTAATTTTTTCAAAGTCATTCCCCATTCAATTAGATTAAACAATATAAAATTACATTGCAAATTATTAACTTGGGCTCTCAACTAGTTTCGTTCTCTCTTTCATTTTAATTAATAATAAAGTTAACACCTTTACTCGGAAGATACTCATACTTATACTCCACTTCTATCGTATCAAACCCTTGTTAATAAAATTATTAGAACAATCGTTCGTTTCTGAGCCAAAGTAATTAGGGTAGCTTGCAAATAATTTTGAGGGTTTGCTACATTACAGCCTACTTATTCGTCTTATATTCCCTTCTCTTTCTCTCTTTCTGTTTATTTCTAAATTGACAATCAAGATTTTTTTAAATCCAAAATAAGTCCACAGGGCATGACCGAACAACAAATTTACAACATCGACAATAATAAAAAACGATAGTCCGTATACAAATGTACTCTCAATGAAAGAGACTATTTGGTCACTAGGTGAGCAACTCTAAGAAAATTTCCGGAAGCAAAATGACACGAAACTAACCCAAAGGACGAAAATGACTAATAAAGTTCCCTTAGAAGGACTCTAACTTTGAAATGGGAAGATAGCTCTGCGAAATGCACAAAGAAGAAAGTTAAAAGAGGCATGTAATTAACAAGAATTTTAATTTTTAAATAAAATGTAATTGATGTAATTTTTTAATTCATAAGTGTAAATAATACGAGTAATTGTTTCAATACCAAAAATACGGCTTAATTGCAAGTTTGGTCACCCGAATTGCTTAAAAATTTCACGTTTGCCACCCGAATTGATTTATTCCATTTATAGTCACTCGAATTAGTTCAACAGTCCAAGTTCGGTCACTCTCCGTTAACCTCCGTTAGACTCCGTTAATGACGGCCGTTAAGTGATGACGTGGCTAACAGAAATACACAGTCAGCACATTTAAACATTAAAAAAAGACGACCCGACCCGACCCGACCCGCCAACTCAGCCTTACTTGCCCAACCCAAGAACCAACCCAATTAATTCACCCTAAACCCAAACCCGAGACCCAACCCCCCCCCCCCCTGAAAATTAAATCGCAGATGGATTAGGGAAATGCCCTAACTCCATCTTCATCCTCTCACCCGCGACTGCTGTTCTTCCCGCGACTGCTATTCTTAACTCCATCGAGAATCGCCGTCGAAGGGATGGAGGTCGCCGCCACGCCGCCGCCTTGAAAGCGACTGCTGTTCTTCGTTATATATATATACACATACCATCATACCACCCGGTTTCTTCATCTGCAATAGAGTCAAATCAAGGTATATGAAAAGATCGATCTTTTTCAGAAGGAACCGAAAAGCAGCAAAATGGAACACAGAGAGCATAATTACACTCGACAGTGGCACTGAGCAGACGATTCCCAACATACGCCCAACCCAAATAAATCCTCAAGACCGCGAGGCTAACCACCAGAATCCCGCTGGAGAGGGCAGCAAAGATCGGTTTCAAAGGGTCCAATTGCGGGCCGACGGAGCCAAACCAGGAGACGGGCAGGCCCACGAACAGAGCGAAAGACGCGACGGTGACGAAAAGGCGGGAGCAGTACTCGACGATGTCGGCGGAGGCCCAAGAGAAAGGGAAGGAGGTGGAGAGGCTCTGGTACTCGTTTATGGTTTGCTGATCGACGGGGACAGGGCACCCTGTTTCTGGAGCATCGCTTCCGTTTCTGAACGACGCTGAGGGCGCTATCCGGCGGGTAGACTTGGTGCCGTGGCGGAGACGAGTGGGTTGGGGAAATTGGAAGCAGGCGTTTGAAGGGATCGTAGTTGTCGTTGGAGAGTGGAAGAGATTTGGCCGCAGCGGCGGCGGTGGGAGTTTCGGTGAAGGGTGGAGAAGGACCAGCGTCTCCATTGATAATCCCCTTTGTCTGGCCGGAAAAATCCGCTTCTGTGTATTTGATTTTGAGCAGCAGTCGCGGCGCGGCGTCGGCCTCCATCCCTTCGACGGCGATTCTCGATGGAGTTAAGAACAGCAGTCGCGGGTGAGAGGATGAAGATGGAGTTAGGGCATTTCCCTAATCCATTTGCGATTTAATTTTTAGGGGGGGTTGGGTCTCGGGTCTGGGTTTAGGGTGAATTAATTGGGTTGGTTCTTGGGTTGGGCAAGTAAGGCTGAGTTGGCGGGTAAGGCTGAGTTGGCGGGTCGGGTCGGGTCGGGTCATCTTTTTTAATGTTTAAAAATGCTGACTGTGTATTTCTGTTAGCCACGTCATCACTTAACGGCCGTCATTAACGGAGTCTAACGGAGGTTAACGGAGAGTGACCGAACTTGGACTGTTGAGCTAATTCGAGTGACTATAAATGGAATAAATCAATTCGGATGGCAAACGTGAAATTTTTAAGCAATTCGGGTGACCAAACTTGCAATTAAGCCCCAAAAATACTCTTAGCTTGCATGTTGCAAACCACCTATAAGATTTGCACCAATATTTTATCCCAAGATTCAATGCTCTCATATATGTAATATTTTGTCTAACATATATGTAGTCACTTGTTTTCAATGCAAGCTACCCACTTTTATTATGATCTTTTATCAACACGATCTTAGGGGTCGTTTGGAAATTGTGATTCTTCAAATTGATGTATTAGGTCAATTAGTATATTATCATTTGATGTATCAATGCATGTATTAGGAAAATACTTTGTTTGGAAGAGCAATGATGAAACAAAAAGTAGGGTAGACAATCCCTCATTAACAATCTCACCTTTTAGTAGAGATTTATAATCATTCATTTTGAGTGATTGTAGGTGGGCCCAACAAAAAGGTAATGCATGCATTCTAACTCAAAGTGAACCAAAAAAACAACTTAATCTTATCATTACATGTATTTGCTAAATACCTCACTTCAAATCTCAACCTCCAAACGACCCCTTAATCTTATCATTACATGTATTTGCTAAATACCTCACTTCAAATCTCAACCTCCAAACGACCCCTTAGTCTTTAGTTGTGACGGGGGTGGTGAAGATGGAAATAGATGAATCTATGCAGAATAGAACAAATATTTTGTACTTATAATTATTAAATTTGCTAGTTGGCTAAGCTTTCATTTAGCGAGGATCATAAAAAACCACATTTCTCCTTTTTTTTCTTGGTATATCCATTCAGTCGACAAATCACAATTCATTTATGCATGAAGTATGCAAACTAACGAAAGTATATCTATGTCGAATTTCAGTTTGATTAATTTACTTATGATAGAGTTATTTCTTCCATACGGGATATTCATGAAACTAGTTGCGAGTTTACTTTGTTAAAACCATTGTTATTCCTCAATCAAGAAATGTTATGATAATATTTAGTAAAATGCATGATTTAGTTTGTAACTTGAGATTATATCTTTGAATCTTTCTATGAGAGAAATACCATTGCTTGAAATTTCCAATTTGATTAGTAAATTATATTTTATGCTGGAGTGTATAAACCTGGTATTATTTCCAGGATAGTTCCACTTCCAAGTCATAATTAGTTATGACTTATTATGAGTGAAAGTTGGGATATGATTTTGCATCTATTTATGGGGGAAATATTATGTTTTTTTTTTGGTGAGAAAATATTATGTTTTTGAACAAACGACAGGATAAATTTTGAAGTATGAGAAGATCTTTTTGGTCTCCGCTTATTTATTACTCTTTTCAGTTTTCTTGGTAGTCATGGTGGCATGGATGTAATTGCAAGGGATGAATGAGGTCAAATAAGTGATAGGAAAGATGGTGCTATAAAAGGCCGTCTAGATGCTGATCCGTTGATATTCTTTCGGTAGGGAGTAGAGAGTTGAGTAGAGAAGTGGACCCTTCGACTTGCTCCAGAACTTCATTTGCGACTGTGAAATGAAAACCCATAGCTGGGGGCAAGTTCAAGTGTAGGACACAACAAAAGTGCAAACCTAATCCCCAGGTATGTGAGAAAGTTTTGAGCTTTAAAAAGATTACAACTTTCCATCTCCTTTGGTGAAATTCACTCATGGGTTCTGCTTCTCTCTCTCTCTGTCTCTCTCCATGTTCCATTTTTTACTGCTGATTTTTGCTTTGATGTGATGCGGTAGAGTGGGATGCTCTTTCTTTCTTTTCTGTTCTTGACAAATTTTCGCCTTTTTGGGAGTTTCCACGGAAATCTCAGTACCTTTGAGTTGAGATTGTGGGTGAAGTAAATCTTCTGTTCTTGTGGCAAAAAATTTTCTTGGGAGTTGGTTGAAGTGGTCGGTGGTGGCGATTGCTGTAGTTTCCTGGTGTTAGAAGGAAGCTGTTCTCCATGGCGGGAGCTAAATATGTGAGGTGTTTCTTTCTCACCAGGAACTGTTAGCTCTATGTTATTGAGGCTTGCTATTTGATTGGTTTGATTTGGTCCCCATGGTAAGTTATACCAGGACTATGAGCACATAATAATCAACACAAAAAAGTGAACTTTTTGTTCATAAGGCCCAGTTGGGCAACCTTCTGGATGGAGAAGATAATCTTCTGCCCCCTTCACTTTTTGATCTGAAAGTGGTTATCATATGCTATGATTTTTCGGTTTTGAAAACATTGATTTAGTTCGATTATATGGAAGCTGAGTTTTATTGTCTGAAAAGGATTGGCTTGAGGACATAATTTTGTTTGCATCCTGGATGTATTGTGTTAGTTAAGGAATATGGGGGCTGAGTTGTAAGGTTCTTCAGACCCTTTGGTACCTTCCAGGTTAGGTGCAGAGAGTAGTGGGTGGTGGTTATCGGTTAACATCATGTTCTATACATCTGCTGTTTCCTGGTAGTTGTCATTTCATCAATCTTCCTTTTTTTTTTGGGTCCTTTTTTTCATAGATTCTGTCATTTAAAAGTTGCAAGATTCTTAAGCACGATACAGATCATCTGACAGAGTGATAGCAACTACCCCCCATTTTCATTTCTTGCCTAACCAAGTTAAAATGTTTAAAGTTTGGGCATTCTTATTGGAATCACAGGCATTTCCCAACTAGAAGATACTTTTTAGGGTTTTTAGGCCGTAGTCGACAAATAGACTGTGTTTGTATGTGTTAGTGTTGTGGTATATGATCCACGATTGAACATCTCCCAACAACTCGAGTTATTGGGATCAACTGGTTCATGACATGTCAAGAACCAATTGCTCCCAATAACTCGAGTTGTTGGGAGAAGGTTATGCTGGATCTTATACCACTCTCTAACACGCCCCCTCAAACGAAAGCCAACCCACGGGCTTGAAGTTTGCACAGGCCCACCATACCATGTGCTTGAAAGACAACGGTTAATATTGGGGGTCGTGGAGATTCGAACACATGACCTTTCGGTTCTAGGCTCTGATACCATGTCATGAACCAGTTGATCCCAATAACTCGAGTTGTTGGGAGATGTTCAATCGTGGATCATATACCACAACACTAACACGCCCCCTCAAACGAAAGCCACTCACAAAGGCTTGAAGTTTGCACAGGTCTGATGACAAGAATACCATGTGCTTAACAAATGGGGATCACCGGGAATCGAACACAAGACCTCTCGGTCACAGAAGGCTCTGATACCATGTCATGAACCAGTTGCTCCCAATAACTCGAGTTGTTGGGAGAGGTTCAATCGTGGATCATATACCACAACACTAACAGTATGCTGTCTGTACATGAAAAACTAACTAACTAACATTATCATTTCGTTTGCTGATTTTGCAGATTAAGCAAGGTTGATATCATTTATGCCAAACAGAAGTTTGCGGCAATCTAATCTGAATCCACAACAATGCAAGCATCTCAGGAGAACGCAATCCCTGATGGGTCTCGCTTGTTCTTTAACCAGCCTCTGGGAGATAAGGAGTCATATTGCTGGTCATGCATCCAGAATGTGCCTCACTATCAATGTTCGAATGATGTGAGCATCCAGGGCTTGCATCTCTCAGCCGACACTTTTGAGCAGCACTGCACCCTAGAATCATCTTCTGGAACTGGTGGGTCATGTGCTGCTCGCAATTCACCATCTACTACAGCCAGTTTCTCCACTAATGAGAGTGGCGTTTCCCAACAGAACTCTCTATCATATCCATCTGATGTTCACGATTCCCCTGACCAGACTAGTGGCTCACCAACAAGCGAGTCTTATGTCACCCACAAGCTAAGGGAATTGGAAACAGCCATGCTGGGGCCTGATCTAGATGTTCTCAACTCATGCAATAATGGCATACTGCCAGCTGGAGGCAACAGCCAAATCTCAACCGAGACAGAGAAGTGGAAGTTTCTGGGTGAAGTAATTTCTAGAGGAGATCTAATGGAAGGCCTTTGCATTTGTGCTCGGTTTCTTGAAGATGGCGATATGTTCACAGTGGACTGGTTAATTGCCGAGCTGCGTGGACTGGTCTCGGTTTCTGGTGAGCCGATTCAACGCCTGGGGGCATATGCTGTTGAGGGTCTTGTTGCAAGGTTGGCATCCTCTGGAAGTGCCATCTATAATGCCTTGAGATGCAAGGAACCTGTACTACCTGCCAGCATGGAGCTTCTCTCATACATGCACGTGCTCTATGAGATATGCCCATACTTCAAGTTTGGATACATGTCAGCAAATGGAGCGATAGCCGAGGCAATCAAGGAAGAAAACCGAATCCACATCATTGATTTCCAAATTTCACAGGGCACACAGTGGATCACCTTAATCAAGGCTCTTGCTGATCGTCCTGGTGGGCCTCCACACATTCGAATTACCGGGATTGATGATTCAACATCTGCTTATGCACGAGGAGGGGGGCTTGAAATAGTTGGTGGAAGGCTGAAAATGCTTGCACAGCAGTTTAAAGTGCCATTCGAGTTCCATGCTGTTGGAATACCAGCTTCTGAGATTCAAGTTGAGAATCTCAAGATTCAACCGGGCGAAGCAATCGCTGTCAACTTTGCATTGGTGCTTCACCACATGCCGGATGAAAGTGTGGGGACACAAAATCATCGTGACAGATTGCTGAGGATGGTTAAAGGATTGTATCCTAAGGTGGTAACTCTTGTTGAGCAGGAATCAAACACCAACACTGCACCCTTTTTTGCCCGATTTGTGGAGACACTAAACTACTACTCAGCTATATTTGAGTCGATTGACGTAGCTCTGCCAAGGGAGCATAGGGAGAGGATTAATGTTGAGCAGCATTGCCTAGCAAGGGAGGTGGTCAACATTATAGCTTGTGAGGGAGTTGAAAGGGTTGAACGTCATGAGCTTCTTGGGAAATGGAGATCACGGTTTGCAATGGCGGGGTTTAAACCGTATCCGCTTAGTAGTTACGTGAATGGCGCAATCAAAGCTCTGCTGGGAAAATACTCCAGCAAGTATACTCTAGAGGAGAAAGATGGAGCTCTTTATCTTGGCTGGATGGACCGCCACTTGGTTTCTTCTTGCGCGTGGAGGTGATCGATCAATAAAACCTAGCAATGATAATTAATGCTGATTTCGTTCATAATGTTTAGATGGAAACTCTTTGAGGTGATGAAACAAACTAGAAAAATGTTTGTCTAAGGGCGCTTCAAAACCAATGTTTGCTTGTAGCTCATAATGTAGCAGTTTATTTTGGTTACAGTTTATTTATCCAGTAAAAGAACATCCCCACCTCTCTAGTAATATATTCCCAACTGTAATGTCTCTGTGCTTTTACTTTCTGCTCCAACTTTAATTTGGAATTTCAGCATGCAGTTACCTGGTGGCTGATGAGATTTGGTTTATCATAGAAACTGCCAATTATCTTGTGAATGCAATCTTTGTGTCATGTGAATACTATGACAAAGCAGGGAAGTACTGCGCCAGGATTTGTTACAACCAAAGATTCCGAGTTTGAGTTTGGATCACTCTTATGAATATTTCTTCCATTATTAACTTTGCTAGCATCTGTAGTAGTAGCCCCTGCAATTGCCCTGCACAGTACCACTGCTCTTTCTTGATCAGCTCTCACCACCTTCGACAGCCTGGTCACACAATGCTCATCAGTCAGTTCATCACTTCTTGTGCTGAGTCGAATACCACTGTTCTTCCTGTGGTGTTCTGTATTGAAACTACACTGAATCGCTCTGCAGACTCCACAGTTCTTGTTTCTGCACAGCTCACTGGCTTCAGTAGCAGCAGCAGCAGCAGAGTAGTGTTGTTGATTGCAGCAGGAAATGGTGGTGCCGAAGAATCTCAGAACCTCATCCCCATCCACACTGCTCCTTGGATATCCTCTGAGCTCCTCTCTGCAGGCAATCTTCTTCACCTTCTCTCTGTACCTCTCGAACCTTTCCATGATTTCAGCAGAGTTGTTCACCCTCAACACCTTTCTTATCTTCCTTGTTGCAGAATTCGTGGGATTCAGAGATGATGATGCCCTTTGGAAGATCATCTCGGCGACGTTCCTCGCAGGGTCTCCAATGCTCACCTCTACGCCTCAACAATTTGCAACAAAACAATCAAACAATGTAGCCTGTACAAAGAAATAAGAAACTGCTACAAGATTCATTTTGATGATCTTCTGACCAAATGTGGATACCAATTACCAACAGAGGTTTCAGCACTCACCAACAAACTGTGTTCTTATCTTATGGGACCGTCGATAACTAGGTGGAGGACTGCAGCTGCAGCTCCTGGTTCTGGAGTCCTGAGCATGCTCATAGTGGCGGTGGTCGTGATGCCCACAAACATCAGCTATCTTTCCCCGACAGCTTTGCTTGCAGTATAGTAGCGACGTCCAGAGAGCCTGCATGGTTTACAGTGATGAATTTTGCAGCTCTGTGGGTTTGAATATGAATGTAGGGAGGAAGAGAGTTTAAGATGAGATGGTGGAGAAATGAGGGAGAACGTGGCTGCATGATGGTTTATCAATGGTTTCAGTACCCTGATAAGACTACGACAAAAGCTCTGCTTGTATGCTTATATATTCTGCATTTAATGCAAGGAATTGGCCAATGCCAGACCACTCAGTAACCCTTCTAGTTCAGTTGGGGCGTTTTTTTTTTTTTTTTTCTGAGTGATATCAATGGAAGAAAATAGTTAAACTTACAATTCTACCCAGGACCCCTAACAGAATCTAAAGAAGTCACCCCAAAAAATCAAAAGATTCTAGCTCTATACGAGACAATAGCAGTGCTTTACGCGCCACTCTATGGGCAGCACTGATGGCGGATCTAGGTACCGCCCTAAACTCTATACAAACAGACAAAGAGCTAAGGATCTGAAGACACTCTCGTAGCACCGGACCTCCAATCGAGTCTTCAATGACACCTTGACGGATTTGGATGACCACCACTTCGGAATCACCTTCGACTATCACGTGGATCAAGGATCTTGAGGTTACGATGGAGATAGCGTCTCTAAAAGCTAGAAGCTCTGCCAGTTGGGGCGTTTTTGCATCCACTTTACTAAGTTGTTTTTCCCCCTTAAAAGTTGTGGCATGTATTTTTCATTTGTTTCATATCATATGTACTAAACACATTTAATTAACACGAATGAGGCAATGGTTGAGTGGTCGTGCCATTAGAATTGTTCATCCAGAAAACACTAAATAATATATCTGTTCGGAGGCAAAAAGGAGATAGAGAAACAGGTGGAACTGAACACCAACATTTCCCAATTGCCACCACCCAACCCAACAAAGAAAGTGGGATTCAATGACATCACACACCAAAAAAAAAAGTTAGGTAGCAGCTGGAAATCGTAATTAGCTTTAGACGTAGCTTAGAGTTGAAGAGATGGAGCACTACTATCCTTCTCCCAGTTGTGGGTAACAAATTAAGAGTCCCTCTAATGAGAACTGAGATGGTCTTTTTCCCATTTGAGTAAAACTATTTGAGTATAGTATATGTATACATCACAACAATAAAAAAGGCCATATACATACAGCGCTGCTTTCATTACATTACAACTTTGTCAACCCAATCACAGATCATCTCACGTCCAAGGATGTGCTGTGTTTTGAGCCAGTCCCTTCCAAGTCACCAGCAGATTCCCCGACTCGAAGCAAAAACCGAGCAACCCTGTATCAGTAATACTTCCGTTACTTTTCAGTCCAGAAGCTATGTGAGCCACTACCCAGGAAAGCTGACAGAAAGAACAGTTGATGAAAAGCACAAGCTCTAATGATGATCAGCTCTGTAACAGCAATGCTTACCATACCAGCATGGTTTACACCGACTAGGGAAATCCTTTCGATTCTGGATTCACGACCAGCTGCTTCAATTTCACCAGTCGGAGGGGAAGTTTTCTTATTGTGCTGGCTTCACCGGGAACAGAAGATTCTAAGGACCGGTGAGTATTCTTCCCATATTTGGTGGGTAGGGGTAAGATGAGCTACGAGCCTCGCTTGGAGTTTGCCTAGTTGAAGCATATTGGGTCATGCCACCATAATAAATTGCAGCTTTGCTGAAACTGGGCCCGCCGGTCTGCTGCCCATGTTCAGAGTGGAAAGGCTGCTGGTGGTGGTGGTGGACAGATGACCTGTTCTCGGCAGCAGCAGAAGAACCCCTTCCAACTCCGAGATCAAGGCTGATTGTGTCGCTTTCGTCTGATCTTATTATCCTCAATGGACTGCTACTGCTCATCGCAGCCGCAGCAGCTGCTGCTGCTGCTGCTGCATCATGACTACTGCTATTCTTAGCTGCGGGTACATCATGGTTGTGTTTCCCTTCATAAGTAGTGATGACTGCTTTTGGATCATGCGATGCCCTCTCTACATGCTTTCTCACCGGGCATCCGACATTTGTGCACTTGTAGTAGCTCCTGAACAATGGGCCAAAACAATAACTTATACAAATTAGCATCCCAAGTTCAAACAGAAACCAACGTTACTGAGGAAACACTTCGTACACAAATCTTCCAAGTAATAATGATTTTGGGGGGAATTTTCAATCATTAAGACAAGGAAAGTTTCAAATCACTGACAAAGCCTTCAGTTGAATGATGAAAAAAGAGACAGCCATGTGCCTACTATAGCTGAGGCAAAAGGAATCCCCACTGACAAAAAGCCTCATCAGGGAAGATATAAAACAAATCTGATTTTATTTAAAAGGACATTATATTCTACAATGTTTTTCTCACTTGAAGGTAAGGTAGCTCTACTGAAAGCAACTGATATATTAAACTAAATCAATATTTAACTTTTTAATTCGGAAGAACAAGGGAAAATATTATGGACTAACTAAACTTAAGGCTCTGTTTTTGGCCCTAACTTAAAGGAGAAAGAAAGAGCTTTTACTTGAAGAGAAGGACCCTAGTTCCTTGGCAACTGAACTTTAATTGCTTTCACTCTATCCAAACAAATGCTACTGAAACATTGCTGCTACATTTCCCACATGCATGGCACAATGCAATCTCTCGCAAAACATCATATTTATCATTTTGAAAAATGAGAATCTTCAGAAAGTTTTTGAGTTACCAATCAATCTCCACATCAGAAGGTCAGCCATCAATGTTATACTCTTGCCCAGAATGAGAACACAAATAATAAGTAGTACCTTGGATTAGGATTTCCTCTCACAACTTTCTGCCCATATTTGCGCCACCTGTACCCATCATCGAGTATATCGACCTCACTAAGAGTTTGAACAACAACACGTGGTTCACGGATAGGCTTAACCACTGGAGTGACATCAAAACTCCCAGTATCCATTTTCCTGATTCATGCACACACATAATTAAATGGCCAACTTCAATTTTTTTAAAGGTCAGAAGGTGAATTGATTAGTAAAAATTTCTCCAGCAATAGAACAAAAGACACAAACCTGCGCTTTGAAAGGGGATCGTCATCATCTTCAGTACCTTCTGCATTTTCATCTGTTGCTGTAACAGGGGACATTTCAGAAGTACCATTTGGTTCCATGGTGTTGGACAGTTGGCTGTATGCACCAGACAATTTTTCTACATGAAGATCAAAATTCCATATAGAAAAGAAGCAAATGAGAAAATCTTTCAGAGCAAGAAAAATGGCAGCAGCTAGTAAATGAGATTTGAAAGTCTGCCCTTACCATCCCTCCCAGACAATATTTTATCGGATCTATCTTCTTGCACAGTCAAAAGAGCTCCAGCAGCGTATCGGCGACTAGGTTGAGGTTTAGGATGGTCATGTGTGCCTTTATAAATAATCTCTGTTATTTGCCCATCATGAGAGCGCTCAAATAACTTCTTCACTTCACAGTTGGGATGTGTGCACTTGTAATAGCTACGGGGAAATTCACTTCCTTTCACAAGCTTCTGTCCATATTTACGCCAGTTATATCCATCCTCTGATGTCGTTGAACTTGCAGTTCCTCCTTTAAGATCAGAATGTGAGGCCTGGGGCCCACAGCTCGGGTTTCCTGTCTGGTTTTGTTCATCATCATCAGCTTCAGTAGTTGCAGTAGCCCCAGAAGTAGCTATGTGGAGACTCAACTCATTTGAGGAGGCTGCCATCTCCGCTTTAGGTGAAGACAATGATGAAAATGATTGGAATTGAGACTGAGAATTGCCTTGGAGTTGTACAGATTGTTCCCTCATCTTATTCTTCATATCTGCAGAAGTCTTGAACAAATATTGTACATTAGGTAAGTTAGAAATTCCAAGCCAGAAACAGAAAAGACAAAAGAAATCAAGTCAGTTATCAAAAAGAAAGAATCATAGCACAGCATTTAGAAGAGTAGTTCAAACAAGCAACAGTCGTCAACTATTCTTTCCGTGATGCATCCTAGTGAAATACAGCAAGAGAAGTATGAAAAAAGTCGCATGATGAAACAATAGTGGATGATTTAGCACAGTGATGGGAACATTTTGGTCGAGCAATTGTAATGATCAAGGATATCACATGCAACATTGGTTAATATTTTGGATGGCATCCTATTCCTTAACCTTTTGTATCACTGCTTCAGTCTTGGCCAACATTGAACTGATTAATATACTGCGTATATTAGGTAGGAGAAAGCAGCATCAGACGATAGGTCATGATTCACAAACATCTGAATGATTCCACATGCAATTAGGACATAGGCAGATAAAGACCACATTGCATAGCAACATAAAATCTCTTTGTTCGGTTTAATTCGTTTTGATCTTCGATTTCATTCTGACGCACTTACTAGGGTTCATGCTTGTGCCTCTATTTCCACACTCAAGCTATCTTGACATCCTAAAGTTGCAGCAAACTTGAGTTGACTCAAATTCTGACTCCTTACAGTCACCAAGCAGTTCAAGAAAGAATGCATGTGGCAGTCTAGTATACATATAATTAGGGAGTACCATATTTGATATAGAAGGAGGCCGGAACTCAAAGAAGCTGGATGCTCTTTCCCCAAAGGCGTCAGATGAAACGGCAGTTGCTGAGTAGGAATTAGATAAGAAAGAGCCATGCACTGTTTGAGGCTTGATGAAAGATCCTGTAGTCGGGGACGGCTCTGCCTGCAGAAGGAATTCTCTTATTTAAACCATTCAATACCACTCAGAGGTCACTTGAACATAAATTTTGAATGAGAAAGCTGGAGCAAATTGACTGAATATGAGCGGATCACACAGAAATAAGAGGCAAGCAAGTAGAATAATTCTTGCACTTGCTGAACCTCCAATTATTAGCACAGTATATCAGACAGGTATTGTTGCACTTAAGTGCCATAGCATCTCAAGCAGCATCTGCATAACTTCTGGCTACTTATCAGCATCACTAAATAGAAAAGGAATTGCACTTGCACATCTAATCATGTGACATCATTCGATTCTCACCAGTCACTACCAATAATTCAAAATATGCTAGCACTAACATGGGGAACCTCTACGAATAATATCAAAATTTATTATGGCTTTACCTAGACAAATTAAGTTAGCACAATGGACTTCATTCTTGCAAATAGACAAAGATTCCCTCACCCAAGTGGAGAAACCCCCAAGAACAGACACAATTCTTAGCATATGGCCGATTTCTAACCAATTCTGTTCTCATTATAACAAAATCAGCTTGTGCTCACAACCTTGACCCTCATATCATATTTAGTGTCCCTGCTTTTTGTATATGACTATGAGGAAGACACAAATCTCACCACCATAGGACTTGTGCCATATTCTTCATGCTCATACCAGGAAGCCATCAGTTTCACAACCCAATGACACCACTTAACCTTACAGATACAATGGACCAGCTAAAGGGCAGATTCATTATGTGAAAAAACAACACTGGGCAACTAATGGAAAAAACAGAAAAGAAGAGAAAAGCTCGTCCTGCCAAAAGTCATATTCTCCAAAAGAATTCTAAGAACGAGAATCTAGATCAAAGGAGCACCAAGTTCAGACCTTTATTATAAATATCATCAAGCATCCGAATCTCACTCGAGAAGTTGCATTCCCATCATGGGAGAGTCCCTAATTTTGGAAAGCCATAAACCCAATACAAGCAAGACGATATAGAAAAAGACAAATATGGTAACAAGAATTTTGGAATCCCGGTGTTCTGCATTCATTTCAGGGAGAAACAAAGAGCATCAGCTCCTTTATTTTTTTCCGCTCAGAAACCTTTAATGGGATCAATTCACCCACTTTCGTTAACTGTTATCCAGGGCCGTACGGATTCCTTACCTAACTTGAGAAAACTACACTGCCAAAAGACTCCCCCTCTATTCCCCCGTCCATGAACCAGCTGCCTAATGAACGATAATGTATCGTTCTTTTTCATAGCTGGGGAATCAACCCAACGGAGTGGAGAATCCTTTAAGCTTTACACGTTCTTTTCTGGGAGGCACAGTGTTTGGTTGGATTTAGAACTGTATTCTCTTCCCAGTAGTATAATCCATCCCACTTTCCTCTCTTACTCCGTCCACTATGTCCCCCAACCCAAACAGATCTCACGATTCCACATGGAAGGTCATTTTCACTTCGTCAAGCCGAATAACTGGAAAATTTAACCGGGAAAAAGAAAAAAAAGGAGAGAACTACAGCTTTCGCCAGTCCAGCATTCCGCTCCACTTCCCAAGCAACCCAACACAATTGCTAAACAACCAGCACAGAACGAAAACAGAAGCAGCAGCAGCAAAAAAATTAAGAAAAGGAGCTCGCTCGATCCGAATCGAGGGAACAGCAAAACGCACCTTCATATTGGAGAGCATGACCGGTGACTCGAGAAAGGAAGTCGGACTGAGCCCAGGAGGGATGGTGATGTAAGGAGACCTGGAGATCGGGAGCTTCGCCGGCGACATCAGCTTATACCTAGCTCCTCCTCCTACACAACCGCCGCCGCCGCCAGAATCAGCGCCATTCTCCCTCCTCTGATCGGCCGAGTCACAAGCGGAAGCAGGTGGAGCCGGAAGGCGGAAGTCATTAGTGTCAGCAGCAGTCTCCATTGGAGCAGAGAAAGCAAAAGGAGGGGAAGGAAGAATGCAAGGAAAAGGGAAAAGCGCAAGGAGAAGAAATTGGAGAGAGAGAGAGAGAGAGAGAGGAAAGGGTAAAATGGTAAACCCAAGGAAGCAGGCAAGAGGAAGATTGGAGAAGCAAAGACGTGACGGTCAGTGGTGGTGGTTTGCCGGGTTGGGCTGTGGAGGTTCTGGATTTAAATAATCACAATTTACTTGAGCTTTTAAAAAAATGAAATGATAATAATAATATAAGGAGATGAGTGAGAGAGAAGAGAAGAGAAGGTGTCTGCCGGCGGCGGAAGAGGAGAAGCGCGCCACCGTCGGCGGCGGAGGCGGTGGCGTCTGGGGAGGAGAGAAGTGAATAGGAAGGCAAAGAGGAAAGGTACAAATGGAGAAAGCTGAAGAAGAAGAAGAAGAAGAAGAAGAAGAAGAAGGAAGAGTGTTGACTTTTTTGGATCTGGAATTTCTGCTGTCCGTTTTACTATTTTTCTTTTTCCTTTTTCTTGTCCAGTGTTGTTGTTTTGTCTTCCTTGTTTTTTTCTCTTTTCTTTTTACTGTTGTCGTTGTTTTCCGTTGGACTAACCTGGGAAAGGAAGTGGGAAGGAAAAAAAGAAAGAAACACCCTGACTTAAGATAAGAAATGGAATTTTGACGATTAAATAAAAAAATCATAATTATATTAATTTTTAATTAGATTCTAATATTACCAAATTTTTATACATATTATTTATTTAATATAGCGTGCAGAGCTCCTAGCGTCAATATTATAACGAACACGTACCATATTTTATTATTGATTGTGAAAAAATAGGTGAATAATTCCTTTTTCGTATAATCAGCTTCATAATTGAGAATATATTTGAATCAGGTGATACGTGCTGATCATAGCAGCATGTAGCAATAATGCAAATATAAGTTTCATATATTATTTTAAGTTATCCTTTTCAAGATGTGTTTTGAATTATTGTACGCAAACAGTTTGATTGTTTAGTTGTTTTGTTTGCATGACTAAATTACAAATTTGTGTTTTCAATTTCAAGTATTACCTCTCTCAAGAGTGTTAGCAAACGGAATTTCTTCCGATTTCACATCATCACTATGATTGGCATTCGGGTTATGATTATTTCCTTAGAAAAAATTCAGCAAATAATAGCATATTAATTCTTTTAGAATGGTCCGGCTTTTAATTATTTAATTATTTCTTTTTTTTTCTTTTGTCTCGGGGTCCTTTTAGAACATGAGTTATACAATGCATATGTCACTTTCTATCCAAATCACTTACCAAAATTGAAAATAACTTCTTTTGTTGGTATTGATGCCTCAAATTAATTCAAGACTTGGAGTTATGGAAGACACTTGAGGTTACTTGGGGTTATGAAAGTTAATGACCACATGGAGTTAATTGTGTGGAGTTTCCATTTGGTTAATGGGAGTGCCGTTCACTTTTTCTTTGGCATCTCATAAGCCATTTTGCATGGCTATAAATAGAGAGTCTATTGTTGTTGAATAGACACACCAATTCCATCCAACTCCTTTCTTCTCCTAAAGTGTAGAATATCTTCTTGAGTACTTTTCTTTTATGTTGGGAGTTTTCTACTTACTCCACAACTTTGTACGTTGAAGATTATTCCTTGATCATAGTGGATTTACTGGCTTGTCCAGCCCGTGGTTTTTCTCCCTCTTCTTTGGAGGGTTTTCCACGTAAAATTGGTGTCTTGTCTTTGTTCATTCTCTTCTCTGTTTTCTTGTTCGATTTCATATTGGGTTTGCTTCCGCTAGTGCTCATTTATATCCAGGTTCAAAAGTCTTTAAAAGACAACAAGTGGTATCAGAGCCCTTGACAACCAATTGAAATCCTCGACAAGATGACTGCAAAGTTTGACATTGAGAAGTTTGATGGCAAGATATCATTCTCGATATGGAGAATTCAAATGAAGGCAATTTTGACACAAAATGGTGTTCAAAAGGCTTTACTTGGTCTCGAAGCCAAACCAGAGACCTTGACTGATGTCCAATGGGAAGAGCTCGATGAAAAGGCTCTTACTGCTATTCAATTATGCCTGTCAAAATCGGTTTTGCAGGAGGTGGTGAGTGAGACAACTGCAATTGGACTTTGGACAAAATTAGAGTCACTTTATATGACGAAAAGTCTCGCTAACAAGCTTCGTCTAAAAGAGAAGTTGTACACTACTCGTATGGCTGAAGGTACTCCAATTCAAACCCATCTTTCTACCTTCAATTCCATTGTTATGGACTTGGAAAATATTGACGTGAAAATTGAAGATGAGGATAAAGCTGTTTTATTAATATGCTCATTGCCCCAGTCCTTTAAACACTTTAAAGAGATCATGCTCTATGGAAATATGGATACTTTGTCTTATGAAGATGTAAAATCTAACTTACTGTCAAAAGAAAAATTTGACTTTGAGTCCAGTTCTAATGACAAAGGTGAAGGTCTACTTATAAGAGGAAGATCCAAGGAAAAAGGGGAATCAAGCAAAGGTAAAGGTAAAGCTCGATCCAAGTCAAATGGTCGAAAATCTGATGATGGGAAGTACTGTCGCTATTGTCGCAAAACTGGTCATGAAATTTCAAATTGTTTCAAATTAAAGGCCAAAGAAGAAAAGAAAAAGCAATCTCAAAAGGCTTCTGAAGCCGGAGAAGCTAGTATCGTCAATGACGATTCTGATGGTGAAGGTTTGGCAACAATTTCTTCTTACGATGGCAGTAATTCGGATGTTTGGGTTCTTGATTCTGCATGCACTTTTCATATTTGTCCCAATAAGAATTGGTTCAAAACACTTAAACCTGTTAATTCTGGTGTTGTGCTAATGGGAAATGATGATCCTTGCAAAGTTCTTGGTATTGGTACAATTGAAATGCGTCTTCATGATGGGGTTGTCAGAACTCTTTCTGATGTTCGCTATGTTCCTGACATGAAGCGAAATCTTATTTCTTTAGGCACCCTAGAGTCTCTTGGGTGCAGATATGGAGCTGAAGGTGGAGTTCTTAAGGTATCTAGAGGTTCTCTTGTTCTGATGAAAGCTAACCGCATTGGTATGATATATGTCCTGCAAGGTTCTGTTGTTACAGGTTCAGCAGATATTTCTACCTCGCTGCTTGATTCGCATAATACTCAATTATGGCATATGCGGCTAGGACATATGGGTGAAAAGCCAATGAGAGTTCTAAGCAAGAGAGGACTATTGGGGAACCAAAATTTTGGGAAACTTGACTTTTGTGAACATTGTATCTTCGGGAAGAAGAAAAAGGTCAGTTTCTCTCCTGCTTCCCATAGTTCCAATGGGGTGCTTGATTATATTCACTCAGATTTATGGGGACCCTCTAAATTTCCTTCCATAGGAGGTCGTAGATACATGATGACAATTATTGATGATTTCTCTCGTAAAGTTTGGGTTTATTTCTTACGGCACAAAAATGAAGCCTTTTCTGCATTTAAAAAGTGGAAAGTGCTAGTTGAAACTCAATCAGGAAGGAAAGTTAAGAAGCTTAGAACTGACAATGGATTGGAATTCTGTGAAAATGAGTTTAATGAATTTTGTTCCTCACATGGAATCGGAAGACACAAAACTCTAGTTAAAACACCTCAGCAAAATGGTGTTGCCGAAAGACTTAACAGAACAATTCTCGAAAGGACTCGGTGTATGATGTCAAATGCAGGTTTATGGCATAGACGTGATTTATGGGCAGAAGCTGCAGCAACAGCTTGTTATTTAATCAACCGTTCTCCACATAAGTCGTTGGATTATAAAATTCCAGAAGAAATTTGGACAGGTAAACCAGTTGATTATTCCAAATTAAGAATATTTGGTTGCCCATCATATTATCACGTAAATGAGGGTAAGCTCTCTCCAAGAGCTAAAAGGTGTTTATTTCTGGGATATTCTATGGAGTCAAAAGGCTATCGTTTTTGGTGTATTGAATCTCACAAGGTTATTCAAAGTAGAGATGTTACATTTAATGAAGATGCCTTATTTTCTGTCAAAGATGGTACTTCTTCGTCCCATGATGCAGAAAATCTTGAGACTCCAAGAGACAAGGTGGAGTTCGAACAACAAGATTCACCTACCCATCTATCTTCTCTAGAGTTAAATCCTAGTGAAGTTCAAAATGAGGAAATGCCACCTCAAGTGCCACAAGATTATATCTTGGCTCGAGATCGGCCAAGGAGAGTTATACAAAAACCTGCTCGATATAGAGATGATGAGCTTGTTGCGTATGCTCTCGCCGTTGCACAAGAAATTTCAGAAGAAATTGAGCCTGCTTCTTTCAAAGAAGCTATATCTTGTGTAGATTCATCTAAATGGCTTGCGGCAATGAATGAAGAAAACGAAAGTTTGTTGAAGAATAATACATGGGAATTATGTATCCTTCCTACGGGGAAGAAAGCACTTTCAAATAAGTGGATATACAAAAAGAAAGAAGGAATTCCCGGTATTGAAGAGGCAAGATGGAGGGCGCGGTTGGTTGTTCGCGGCTGCAACCAACGTGAAGGTATTGATTTCAATGAAATCTTTTCTCCTGTTGTGCGTCACACTTCCATAAGAATTTTGCTCTCTTTTGTTGCTCTCTTTGATTTGGAGTTAGAGCAACTTGATGTGAAAACTGCTTTCCTTCATGGTGATCTCGAGGAGGAGATATACATGAAGCAACCAGAAGGCTTTGTGATTCCAGGAAAGGAGCATATGGTTTGTCGCTTGAGAAAATCATTATATGGTCTCAAGCAAGCTCCTAGACAATGGTATAAGCGTTTTGATACTTTTATGATTGGAAATGGTTATACACGAAGTCAATTTGATAATTGTGTATACTTCCAAAAATTTCCCGAGGGCTCCTACATTTATCTACTTCTTTATGTTGATGACATGCTTATTGCTTCTAAGAACAGAATGTTGGTCGAAAGGTTAAAGTCACAACTAAAAGGAGAATTTGAGATGAAGGACCTTGGAGCAGCAAAGAGGATTTTAGGTATGGAGATCCAAAGAGATCGACAAGCTGGTAAATTATTTTTGAACCAAAGAAAGTACATTGATAAGGTACTTGAAAGGTTCGGAATGATTGATTGTAAGCCCACTTCTACTCCTCTCGCTGCTCATTTCAAGTTATCTGCTGCTTATTGTCCAACAACAAATGAAGAAGTGGATTATATGTCTAGCGTTCCATATTCGAGTGCAGTTGGTAGTTTGATGTATGCTATGGTCTGCACAAGACCCGATCTTGCATATGCAGTAAGTGTTGTCAGCAGGTATATGCAAAATCCAGGAAAAGAACATTGGAATGCTGTGAAGTGGATACTTCGGTATTTGAAGGGAACCCGTGATATGGGTCTATTGTTTGAGAGGAGTGAAAATCCTTCCAACAATATTATAGGCTTCACAGATTCTGATTTTGCAGGTGACTTAGATAAACGGAAGTCCCTTTCCGGATACGTTTTCACTCTCTGCAATTCATGTGTTAGCTGGAAATCTTGTTTGCAACCCGTAACTGCTTTGTCAACTACAGAAGCAGAGTATGTTGCTATTTCTGAGGGGGTTAAAGAGGCTATTTGGTTACGTGGCCTAGTTATTGAGCTTGGAGTTGAACAAACTGTTTCAACCGTATTTTCGGATAGTCAAAGTGCCATTCACTTGACTAAAAATGACATGTATCATGCGAAGACAAAACATATAGAAGTCAAGTACCACTTTGTCCGAGATGTTATGGTTGCAGGTGATATTAGTGTGAAGAAAGTTCATACTGACAACAATCCTGCAGATATGCTCACTAAAGTTCTTCCTTCAACTAAGTTTGATCGTTGTTTGAACTTAGTTGGAATTCGAAGAGCTTGATTACCTCTCAGAGGTTTCTGGACAAGTCTTTCTAAATTTGATTCAAGGTGGAGATTGTTGGTATTGATGCCTCAAATTAATTCAAGACTTGGAGTTATGGAAGACACTTGAGGTTACTTGGGGTTATGAAAGTTAATGACCACATGGAGTTAATTGTGTGGAGTTTCCATTTGGTTAATGGGAGTGCCGTTCACTTTTTCTTTGGCATCTCATAAGCCATTTTGCATGGCTATAAATAGAGAGTCTATTGTTGTTGAATAGACACACCAATTCCATCCAACTCCTTTCTTCTCCTAAAGTGTAGAATATCTTCTTGAGTACTTTTCTTTTATGTTGGGAGTTTTCTACTTACTCCACAACTTTGTACGTTGAAGATTATTCCTTGATCATAGTGGATTTACTGGCTTGTCCAGCCCGTGGTTTTTCTCCCTCTTCTTTGGAGGGTTTTCCACGTAAAATTGGTGTCTTGTCTTTGTTCATTCTCTTCTCTGTTTTCTTGTTCGATTTCATATTGGGTTTGCTTCCGCTAGTGCTCATTTATATCCAGGTTCAAAAGTCTTAACTTCTTTATCAAAGACGGAGCAAAATTATTTTGAATGAAAAATCACATTATTTCATCTTTTTTTATGGTTAAATAAATTTAGTTTCATCATTTTCAACAGTAAATGGTCAGGGATTTTAATTTTATTTAATATATGGGCAAATGATAATTTAGTAAATTGATCGGTGTGAGTTTATAGTACATTCTAAATTTTGGGTGCATAAAATACATATTATTATTATTTGTAAATGGCTAACATACAATTTACGATATAAACCATTTGTAAACATTATAAATAAATATGTATACATATTTTTGGCAAAAATATTTATAAATATTTAATATTGGGTTTACAAATCATTATTAATGTGCACCAAACTACTTTTTATCATTACAAATATTAGTGGTGCACATTGTATACTTTTTTCCCAATGTAATGGTGATATAGATTTGTATATTAGTTAGGTATCACTTACAAAATTCTAACATGTAACTTTTAGGTTTAAAACTAGTGCTACTACCACAAGATCAATTCAACTTTTGCATGCATATAGTAGGCTTGAAATTATAAATGCATCATAGACTTGCCTGAATTTTACAAATAATAATGGTGCATACAGATACAGTACATTTCAACTATTTTTTCACCGTTTTTTAGTTTTGTTCGATAATTTCAATTTTGGAGAGGGAGAGAGAGATAGAGATTGCCAGATCGACATGTCACATTTAGGGGTGAACAAACACACCCGCAAACCGACCCACCCGTCCAACCCGACCCACCCGTATTTATCGCTAAAACGAAGGTTTTGGGTTGGGTGAGGGTTTTTTTTTGTACAACCCGCCTCTTTTGGGTTGGGTTTGGATTTTGGATTACACAACCCGTAGAACCCGACCCAACCCGTGTTCCAACTATTAGTATGAGTTCGGATCTAAAAAATATTTATGTCGTATATAGTCATATACTTATGAGAAAATTAAGATATTTCGGCATGTTTTTCTCTCATGGTCTCCCGAATCTAATTCATTCTTCGACTTAAAGTTTAGACATAAATTGAATATAGTTATGATTCACGTAATCATTTTTCTTGTGTACAATTTTAATCGAATAACATATTATGGATGCGTTTGTTTATAACATTTTTAGCCTATTTCAACAAATATTGTGAAAAAAACAAGACATATGTTGAAGTAGATCACATTTTATTAAAATTCAAACAATATTTGTGAATTTTGATACCTTTCACCTCAGTTCATTTGTTTGAAATTTTAATTAGTTATAAAATATTTTTATGATATAGAATAATTATATATCTTATGTTGGGTTGGGTTTTTACTTAAAAATATCGCCAACCCGACCAACCCAATTAGAAACAAACCGTAGGGTTTAAATTTTTTTTGGGTGGGTTTGGATTTGATATTTTCCAAACCGTAGTGCATGGATCGGGTGATTAAAATGACTAAACCCGAACCACCCGACCCATGTACACCCCTAGTCACATTGGCATGTCAATGATTCGACCGAGGCTAATGGCTTTTGGATGAAAAATCTAATCGATGACTCCATTTCATAACAAGCACAACAGGTGAACAATTTTGAAATTTTTTTTACGCGAAACATAATATATAAACGCATTCGGAAGAAAAATGCATACTAGATAAGCAAGATTATACTACCAATCCCAAAAAATTTGTGTTCATTTCCTTCCTCAAATTTCCATCTTTATTGAGCAGATGCATTTGGTATATAGTATTTCTTCTTAACTTCAATCTTAACCCATATGAAACAAACACATCTCTACATTCACAAAATGGATTAGGGCAAAGGTGAGTGGTGTAGGATGAGATCTTAGTCGGTTTCAAGAGGGATATGCTATGCACCAACAATTAACAAAAGCAAAGTATAGAGAGAGAAATAATTCAACAATATTAAATGGAAATGATGGGAGAAGGGGATTGCTGGTCTGGCAGCCGAAGAAGAAGAAGAAACCAAACCAAAAGCAAAGAAGCAGGGCTCCTTGCACTGAATTCGGATGTGAGCCGAATTGACTTGCTATCAACCCATCCTCTCAACGTGACTCACGCACACAACTCACAAACCCCACCTGTCATGTCTGGCCGATTTCGCAGCCGATGCATACTTCATAGCGAAGAGAAGAGATTGATTGAGGTTGAGACTGAAATTGCGAGCACACTCAATTTGATTTAATTCGTTTGGATTCAATGTTAATCCACCGATTCGATCTAACTCAATCCCGTACGCATTACGTAATTGCTAGCAGTACGTATCGTCAAAGTGATTCCCAAATGTGACCATGTTACGGACATGTGTGTGGTCGACGCATTTACTAACGTGAACTTCATACCTAAAGAAAAGACTTGTAGATGTGTTCCATTAATTATTATAACTATAATCCGTACAAGAGGAAAACAACACAAGTACAAGACATAGGGAGTGTGCATTGAATAATTAAATTTGATTCTCTCCATGTACTAGCAATCAATTATCATTAGCAAAGCAAAACAATCTTTTTCCCCCACAAGACATGCTAAGAAGGCTGTAACCAGAAAAACCAAAATGAACTAAACCGCGATAAACCGTATGCAAATACAGACCGTATATACATCTTTATTAAAGTTGCGAGGCGCAAAATGACACGATACAAACTCAAAGAAACGAAAAAAGAAGACACATGTCCTCCAAGATAACCACACAAGTCGAATGAGATGCTTCATTTCATTGGACAGAAAATGCTAAACGACCTAATGCGAGTTGCCAGAAAATGCAACAACAACAACAACAATTATGTATTCAACACCATTTCATAGCATTTCGTAGGCAAACCAATTCTTTGTTTGCCAAAAAAAAAAATGACGCTTTCACTTTTGGCCAACTTCACAACTCGGCCAATAGGGAAACTTCACATGATTTCCCCATCTATCATTCTCTACTCCACCACTCAGGGAGGGAACATTATCCACCTTAATTTTCATCACTTGGAGATAATATTGACTAATTATTCCTGTGCCCAGAAAAAGCATATCTTCAAGCTTAAGAAGAACCTGTTAGGCGCCCCCTCAATTGTCTGACATCCCATTCTATCTAATCTACCAAGAAACACCAATCCAAATCACGAAGAATAGGCTCTGTTCACATGGGGGAGGGTCTAATTTCTATCTCTTCTACAAACTCCTGAGTGGACGTCGGATTGATTGACATCCCAACTCCATCGGAATTAACTCTATTCTATCTACTGAGAGATCGGATTCCGATTCGATTGCAGATGGCATTTTCCATCAGAGAATCTCATCGAGGAGCTTCAGGTTTACTACTCGATGTGCTGCTAATCTCATCTAGATGGGGTGGGGGGTACTGTAATGAAATGAACCCTGCATGTGCTTGATACCAACGGGAAACCAACAAATTGGCTCATAATGATAACAATAGGACAGTTTTCCTTCTACAATATTATTATTATCACCATTCCCAGTAATGGCATGCACGACTTGTGTTTTCTGAGCTAGAACAATACAAAAAAACGACAAAGAAGGAAAAGCAGGGCAGCAGCTATCAAATGGGTAGATGTGGGAGCAGAAGAACAGAGCTTGGGGCTTTTCATGAGGTGCAGCTAAAACCCCACAATCATGGAGCTGACAGCAACTCAACGGGAAAATGGAAAGCAATCCAGAAAAGAGAGGAGGGAAAGGACAAAGAGAAGAAGAGAACCCAAAATGGAAAACAATGTGAAATTCAGAAAGAATATGTGCAGATGCCAGGTTAGTAAAACCAGATGCAAGACCAAAGTGATACAAAAACAAAAAAACAGCAGCAACAAAACCAGAAGATGACAGAGATAAATCTATATAATCTTACATCCAGGGCCCGGGGAGGAGGGGAAATGGGAAAGCAAATGCCATTGGCGGAGAGATACCCACATTTCCATTAAGCTAGTAAAAGGTCATCTGCTAGATATCATAAGCAACTTAACCTAGCAAGAAAACCAAATTGGACCACTCTCAATTCAGCTACTGACAGGGAATTGAACCTCTTTAAGTAGTTAACTAAGAGATCTACATCTTGCTTAAATAATAAACCTAAAAGTGTTTGGATCTTGGTTCAATAAGCAAAGAGAGAGATATTGAACGATGCCAATATCTGCTGACCCAAGAGATAATCATAGTGCATGCATGGCAACCAGGAAAGCATTTGCTTTTTCTGGTGATCAGCATGGTATGTCAGATAAAACAAATACTACCACCAAAAGTTGTATATACTGTGATGGTCAGTAGCTAAAAAACTATTGAGGGTAGTAGGTTTGATGATGCTGAGGTGGATAACCACCATATCCATCATAATAACCAGCAGCAGCTTGCCCCCCACCATAATACCCTGGTGCAATTTGAGACTCAGAAGGGTATTGCTGTGCTGCTGACGGAGCAGCAGGGTTTGGGTTCCCAGGGAAGCCCACTCCAGCCCCATACTGTCCAGCATATGAACCTGCATAATGGGGAATGGGAGGAGAGGCATTCACCATCCCATAGGCCCCAGCAGCTCGATACAAACCTGTTGGCTGCAAATGAGGTTGGTGATATGAAGTAGGAACGGTAGATCCAGGAGCACCCATTGGAAGCGTCGGTCCATTTGTTCTCGGGCGCTTATTTCCGTTATGCTGCTGATAGTGTTGCTGCTTCTTGGCTTGGAACTGCTTCTTCGCTTGCATTTGCTTCTTCTTCTTTGGCTGTTGTTGCTGCTGCTGCTGTTGAGGCTTGGTGGCAGAAGATGGTGTAGTCTGTTTGCCATAAGTCTTCTGCTTTTGCAACATCTCAATACGCTTTTCAATTTCCGTTCGTGGATACTCAGATTGAAGCTTGTGCTCATCAATGACTTGAAGTACAGAATTCAGTGCACTAACTTCCTTAGATTTGGCCTCATTCTGCACGATAAGTGAGAAGGGGATATCTATCAAATGATTTGAATAAACCAACAGGGGAGACAATATCAAAGGGGTTTTGCAGGTCACCTTTGTCTTGGCAGGAATCTTTCCATCATTGCAAGCTTGGTCAGTGGACTTTCTGCACTCTGTTAGATATGCTTTCAACAGCGGTACTGCTTCAAACTTGTCAGTCAATCCAAATTCAAAAATAAATTTGACAGCCAGAGGCTGTTTGCCACCATCTATAAGTTTCTGCACAATAACTGCATAATGGAAGAGAATGAATAACAGTCCATATGTTTCTTTACTGGTAATGTACAGATTAATCACAAACAGACAGCAAGAAAATTAAACAATCAAAAGGGAGAGAGACATATCGATTATCGAGGAAAGAAACGGAGTTGCTCATTTGGCACAGCAGTATTTGGCCTAAGAATGTGCCTACAGGCTACAGGCCTACTGCCAGATATAAACCAACTTTCTACATCCTGACTTCCTTTCTACTTAAGGATCTCTTCACTGAATTAGTTGACCACAGTTCAGTCCACAGGACTCGTAGGATGCAGCGAAAGCAATCTTGATTTTTCTTTCTTCTATTCCAAAAAGAACACACAAAGTGAAGATAAGTCGTCACCACTTTACTGCAAAGTTCAGTTCGGATATCAGTAATTTATGTTATACTCTCTCATCGTAGAAAATTGGTTATTCAAAATGTGATGATCATTGCAGCCTTCAAGAGTTCAAGTCACTGATCATATGCATTTTAACCTAATAACTGCCTTGCCTGAGTTTCAAAACAGCTCTACTGCTTCATTCTCAACCAAGGAGCTGCGTTTTGGTTACAAATGCTAAACCCATCATGTGACTTTACAAACTTAAAACCAATGACTCATTTGACCTGCAGAATTAATTTATGTTATCTAAGAGCACCAACAACGCTATCTACCCTTGAGTTTTCACCAACATCCTCATTTGCTATGACAGAGCACACGGATACTCGTATCGTACCTCCTGATTCCATATATGGACACAAACGGAAAATTTCAAACAGCAAAGAAAAGCTAAAGCAATTGAAAACCCTCCCCAGAAGCATCGATAAACAGAACCCTCGCTAATTTTTGTTAAGAGCAAATTTGTTCTTATAACTTAGGTTATAGGAAGATGCAAAATAATCTCACAGGCCGCTGTACCAAAAATCCTAATCATTTGCTTGAAATTTACACAGGCCGCCATACAAAGTGTTAGTGTTAGAGGAGTACAGTAGAGGAACTAGTTCACAATCTCTCACATTCTAGTCATCAGCCGGAGGAATTTAACTACAATAGATGAACCTACCAACACTTTTTAAACACTAAATAAATTCACAGTTAGTAAGACTTAAGCAAAGCCATCAAAAAGAGATTTCACATTTAGCAAAAACCAAACATTACCTGCAGTCTTCTCTCCCAGACCAATATCTCGGCACAAAGTTATTGCTTGCTTAAACTTTGCAATGACAACAACGTAAACCACAAGCTCGCCCACATCAAACTGATCCCGCAATCCATAAGCTGCCAACAAACTCAAGAACGCCAACGCCTCAGAAGGGCTCTCCCCACTCAAACTCACTTTCCCTTTCCACTCTAATGCCAACTGTTTAGCTCTCTCCCTCACCTCATCGCTAATATTTGGCTTCACATAAACCAACACTTCTAGCAAATCCAAACAACTCTTCCGTAGACGATACAATTCCGGGTCTTTATCCCCTTTGGAAGCCAAAGCTGCTGGATAGAAGCCCTCCATTGCATTCAAAACCATAGAACCTGGGTCACTGCCCACATTCATTGCACTGGCAAGCTCAGCACGAATCGCAATCCGCTCCTTCGCATGGTCGCTTATGTAGTCCCTCAACCCTTTCCCATCCAGCTTCTCGCAGAAGGGTATCAACTCAGGCCGTGCCGGACTGGGTCCACCCACTCCCACTTCCGGAGAGACCTGCATTGCAGAGCCCGGCTCCTTCACATCATTGGGCACAAGGGCACCGTCGTCGAGATTAGGTCGGTTGGAAAAAGAGGAAGACGGGTCCTGAACAGGAAGCGACGCCGTCCCCGCCTCGGCCTCAATCGGACCACAGTTCTGCCGCCCGGAATCCGGGCCGCGGGATTGTAGAAGGTGGAAGCGGCGAGTGAGGTCAGTCTGGCGGGTGGAAAAGTGGGAGTCGAGGTCGGACCACGAGAGTGAGAACGCGTCGGAGGAGGAGGACGAGAGGAGAGAAGAATGGCTTTGGAGTTCGTCGTAAGCCTTCTTCAGGCTCTCCTTCTTCGCGTCGGTCAGATTCAGAGCGGCTTCGATCGTCTTCAGCGTCGGGATTTGATTTTCCTTCGCCGAAGAAGTCGCCATTGATGTTCAGCTGGAAAAAAAATTGATCGAATTCCGTAAACCCTACAGCCACCGTGGAGGAAGGGAATCGGCGAAAGAATTCTCTTTTCCGTTGCGTAATATCGGTGGTGGGGAATTGACAGGAGACGACGACGGGTAGGGTCAAGGGTGTAGGGAGGTGTGGGAAAAGCAGAGTAGCGGAAACGGTCGCTGGGGAATAATTCTTCGTCAACTCAAAACGACAACCCGTATTGGTGTCCTTCGTTCGGTTGTTGGTAGTGCTGCAAATGAGCCAAGCCGCTCGCGAGCAACTCGGCGTTCGAATCGGAAAAAACTCGTTCGACACTTGACTCGTTATTTAACAAGCCGGCTCGCGAGCCAACTCGTTAGTTAACGAGCCAAGCCTGAGCTAGACCATGCTCAGCTTGATAAGCTCGCGAGCTAGCTTGATTCGGTGGCTTGTCGAGCTAAGCTCGCGAGCTACCTTGTTTTGAGCTTGTGGAAGGATGAATTACTCTCTTAAACATGAACATTGTCTTCTAATACAGATGTGTATGATATTTGGATGTTATTTATAGTTTCTAGTGTTCTTTCTATCATTTAAATTCTTATGTTTATACATTTTTCCAACAAAAATGATTTTAAATCGAGCCCATCTTGAGCCGAGCTTGTACTCAGCTTGACAAGCTATGTTAATGAGCATTTATCGAGCTCTACCGAGTCGAGTTCGAGCTAGATTATTTTTATTCAAGCCGAGCTCGAGCTCGAGCTCGAGCTGGATTATCAAAATTCGAGTTCGAGCCGAGCTCGAGCTGAAAAATTAATAAACGAGCCGAGTTCAAGCTAAGCAAAAACTCGACTCGACTCGGCTTGTTGGGCTTTTGAGCTTCACTGTATCCTTTATCCTATTCCAATTTCCAACAAGAATGCCATATAATAGTGGAATCCTTACTGAAACCGAAGGATAAAGGATACAAAGAAGCCCAATAGCCACGACCCCTGAGCCGAAGCCCGGATTAGCCAAAAGGATCCAACATTGGAAGTCTAAATCCCTCTCCTTGGCAGCAAAAGAGGTGGTGATCAAAGCGGTTGGATCAGCAACTCCGGTTTATGCGATGCTTTCTTTCCACCTTCCGGCCACCTCCTGTCGTCGTATGAATGGCCAGCTCTCGCGGTATTAGTGGGCCAGTCAAGACAAGGTCAAAGGTATTCACTGGCTTTCTTGGCCAGCCATTTGTGTGAGTAAGTTTTGAGGAGGCCTTGGATTCCGGGACTTCGATCTCTTTAATATTGTTATGCTAGAAAAACAGGCCTGGAAGCTGCTGTTGGCCCCGACTTCTACATTGGCTAGAATGTACAAGGCTCGCTACCATCCCCATTGTGACTTTCTCCATGCTACAGCAGGTTCTCGTCCATCCTGGGCTTGGCAAGGTGTATTAGCTGGTCGAGAGTTGCTTCTTAAAGGGCTTCGGTGGCAAGTTGGGTGTGGCACTGCCATCCGGATCCTTGAAGACCCTTGGTTGCCTACTTCTCCACCTTCCTCTCCGTCCCTTCTACCCGGGGTCCATCTCCCCAGTCTGTATGTGGCATCTCTCATCGATCCTTTGACGCGGCAGTGGAATTTACAGTTGCTTCATTTTTATTTTACTCCTGCCAGTGTACAGTCGATTCTCTCTATCCCTATTCCTCTCACTCCCAGGCGTGACAGATATATTTGGCATTATTCAGAGACAGGACAGTATTCTGTCAAGTCGGGGTATCACCTCCTCTCGGATGTTCGTTCTGAGTTGTTCAACACTCTTCCACCTCATTTGGATGCTCGGTTCTGGAAATTGCTTTGGAGCTTACCTGTTCCTCCTAAACTGAAGTTTTTCTTATGGAGGGTTGTTCGGGGTTTCTTACCATGCTTGGTGGTGCTACATAGCAAAACTCTTAGCGACTCTAATGTTTGTCCTGTATGTTCTGACGAGGTTGAATCTATTTCTCATTGCTTGTTTGATTGTAGAGTGGCGCGTGCAATATGAAATCTAGCTGGCAAAGATCATGTCTGTGTGCTTCTCTCAGGTATGACGCCTGATTTAGCATGGCATACAATTTTCTTCTCTATGCAGCTCAGCAAGGTAGCCATGGCAGAATTGGTTTTCCTAGCCTGGCGAATTTGGAAGGCTCGGTGCTGGTCTTGCTATGACAAGGTCCAGTTCCTCCCTGGCCCTCTTTTCCGCCAATTTTTACTTCAAAAGGAGGAATGGATAGCAGCCACTTCTCCTCCATCTTCACATGGATGTAGTTTAGCTCGGCCGCCTATCTCCTCTCCATCGCCATCCTGTCCTCCGGGTGGTCTGCTCGTTCGTTTTGATGGGGCGACTAGGCGGGAGGTCGGTGGCAGTATTGGCTTTGTTGGTTTCTCTCCGTCCGCCTCCATCACTTGTGCCTACGGTAAATACTACAGTGGCTTATTTGACCCTTTTGTGTTGGAACTCTTAGCGTTACGTGATGCGATGGACTGGTGCTTAACTAGGGGTATTTTTTCTGTTTGTTTTTGTGGGGATTCTCAATTGGTGATCCGCCGCATGACGGAGGACACGTCTCAGCATAACATTGGCGGAGCAATCCTGGATGAAGTTCGGCTGATGAAAGCATCATTCGCGTCTATTCGTTTTGTTTTTTCTCCTCGTAGAACTAACAGGGCTGCCCATTGCGTGGCAAAAACGGCTCTTGCATCGGCTAATCAGCATTTGGCTGATTTCCGTTATTTATTTTTTATTTAATCTTTTGTAATTCCCTATCTATTACTCTTCTATCTATGGCAAAAAAAAAAACAAGATTTATCCATGCTACAAAATCTATCGAGCTTATGACTTCAATAAAAAAAATCGAGTTTATGACAATGATGGCATGGTATTATGGGGTTGGTTTTGTCTCTGAGCTATTTAAACAAACCTCAACATTTGTATTGAGATTAATACGCACCTATTTTAAAATTTACATAATATTCAACATTTGTATTAATACGCATGTTCCTATTGTTTCAATTTAGATTATCTATTTACCGCACATAAAAATTAGGTCAATTGTATTGTACGAATGTCTATTTTGTCATGTCTATTTAGCCATGTCTCATACTTTGGAACAAAATAATTTTAAATGCTCATTAGGCAACATGTTCACGTTTTTTTACCAAAAGTATAGAGGTGGTGTGTTTTACCAACGTGGTATACCTAGGGGTCGTTTGGAAGTTGCGATCGTTAGTGTTGTATTTGTCAAATGCATGCATTGTCCACAATACAACGTTTGGAAGTGTCAAGTTGCAAAACAATGCATGTATTGTTTTGTGTGGGTCCCACCAACAATCAACAAAAATGAGAGTTGGAATTGTTGTGATTGTTGGTTTAATGATTGAGCACCTTTACCTTTTCCAATTATGTCCATAATTCTTTTTGTTTTATATTAAAAGTGGAGGACAAATATGACATTTCCTTATAAAGTAACTTTATAACAATCAATTCATAAATTATAATCTCAACAACCAAACAATGTAATTTCAAAATACATCTATATTATCAATGCATGCATTTATATCACAGTGTTTCATAACATTACAACGATTTAACATACACAACATTCAAACTTAACATACGCAACATTCAAACGAACCCCTAATTGTGAGTACGTTTTTGGAAAGTGTGCAATTTATTTTGAGTAAAATATATTAGAATTCATATGATCCATACACATAATTTGTTGAAATCAAACAAGCAAGAAAATAAAAGTCAATCAAGAACAACAGGAGACAGGCTGGTTTCGGGTGATTTATCATATGCACGTGCTGGCGCAATTTATTCGGAGGTTCATGCATTACTAGTCCAATTGCCAAAAGTTGTTTTACAATTTACTTCTCGAGATGAGAATCGGGCTGCCCATTTAGTGGCGCAACATGCCCTACGCTTTCCTGGATTACCTTCTTTGTTAGTCGATTTTTCTTATTTGTTCTATCTGTCTTCTGATAGGTGAGTATGCCGTTTATTGTGGCTACCCTTATCCTTGCCTTGTAAATCTACCAAGATTTCTATGACAAAAAAAAAAAAAAAGTCATTTGACCTCAATTAGTGGATTGATCGAAGAACTGAGAACGCACCTTGGTCATCCAACTTGCAACAGCTACATTGGGACAGTTCTCTTCTAAGAAATGAAGAGTTGGGAAGAAAAAGGGCGACCCAGATTCAATTATACATCATTTTTAAGAAATTAGATATGCACTTGTTTTAGACCTGTATAGCTAGATATTTTTTTCTATGTCTTCGAATATAATGGCTACTATTAACTCATCATCACTTGGTCCAAAGGTTACTAATGTATTTTGATAAAATTTTAACACGTGTAAGCATATTTATTTCAAAAAAATTTGATAAAATCTCATAGTACAAAATTCATTTAAAACTCTGAGTATCCACATACCCCCAAAGAGCCAAGATAATCAAAGCATCAAGAAGCCTAGAAAACACCTGACCGATTTCCTGAAATAAACCGAAGTGTATAGTTCTTAACTCCCACCACATGCGTCTGAGCCTACAACCACTCACGATTTGCCTTCTCATTATGCTCCCTCTCCATAGAAAGTAACGGCCATTGATGATAAAAGCTCTTGACTATGAAAACGAGGGAAGAAAGTATTCTTGTGAACAAGAAGCTTATGCACTGTCTGTCCTTACCTCAACATTGTTTGTGTATTTCCACCTCACCTCACCAAAAAAATTCGCCAACAGGGCAAAAACACAAAGAGTTGAAGACCCATCTCAATCCCCAATTTCCAAACCAAATGCATTGCTCCAGGGAAGTTGCAGTTCTGCTCAGCTTGCTGGTAAGCATCCTGATCGCAGCTTGTCAGGGAAATTCGGCCGAATCCCATGGACATTTCGCACGTTTCGTCAGGGCAGTCGATCCCCAGAACAACCTGAACCTCTCCTGGAATGGAGAAGCACTCCCCCACCCATGTAATCAGACGAAGAACAGCTTCGTCAGGTGCGATTCTGACGGAGTAGTGACTGAGGTCAGGCTGGAGAATCTCAACCTGTCAGGGAAATTCGACGCCGATTCTCTCTGCAAGCTTCCAGGCTTGCAGGTACTCAGCCTGGCAAGAAACTCCATCCATGGTTATATCCCGGATTCTATCTCTTCCT